CGTCTGGTAATTTGAAGGTTGTGTTATGGCGCGCAATATAACCCTTCACTTGAGCCCAGATGAGCTCTATTGGGTTCAGTTCACAGTGGTAGGGCGGTAACCGCAGCACAGTGACACCACATTGACGGGCCATCTCATCAGTCACGTAACTAATGTTCGCAGGTTTGTGCTGTTTAATTTTTTCATACAATTCCGCTTTCACACATGAATCGTAAAACGGGATTCCTTTTTCGCGCAACCATTGCTGCATGTCACTTTTTCGAGATCCCATAGTCGGTACACGTTCGGCTCGACGACTATGGTAGGAAGCATTATCCATGACGATCACAGAGTTGGGCTCAACTCGCTGAAGCACCCCTTGAAACCAGCTCTCGAAGCAGCTGGCATTCATTTCGTCATGGTAATCACCTCCTTTCTTAGAGACGAAAATCAAGTCACACTCTTCTAAAAAGCCACTATCGCTACCAATATGAGTTACGATCAATCTTTGACCTTTCCCTGACGGTCCACGAAGACCTGTTGACAAACCTTCAATGCTTGCTTGTCGGTTACTCACTACGTGTTTGTCTATCCAGGTTTTTTTAACTGTGTGACCTGCATTTACCCATGTCTCGTCCAAATAATAGATTTTTCTGGTTTGTCGCCTATATTCAATCATTTCGCGAAGGTATTTTCGACGCCAGGCGACTATTTCAGGTCTCTCTATCAATACTGACTTCCGATTACGCGTTTCGTAACGAAAATTAATTTCATGCAGGGATTTCCTCATTACCTCGACGCTCATTTGGGGTATAATTTCATTTTCCTTGATCGCTGCATGTACAGCCTTGAGGGTTGGTGTCTCATTCCTAAAGAAGCATGAATGTACGGTTCGCCTTAACGCCATCTTGCTATCGTCATCCAATTTAACGGCCTTTCGTCCCTTCAAATTAAACTTTGGATCAGTAGTAGCTCCAGTTTTCTTCTTTTCATGCACCACCCTGCGAATGGTCCACTCTGGAACGCCTGTCATACTTTCACAACGCGCGAGTGCATCTCCCTGCGACATAGTTCTGTTCAGATAATTGAACACGTTGAGCATGATTTCTTTCGCGTCCCTCTTCAGTGCTTTACGAAGCCGTCTACTTGTTCCCTGGCTTTCAGCACTTCCACTCGTGCCATTTGTACTCTCCATGGTTAAGTATAACCAAAACAGTAACCACAGAAACCACAACAATAACAATCACACAACAATTCTTATAAAAACACACAATATGCGATCGCTCAACGAAACACGTTCCAATGCGTTGCCGCCGCCTATGAGTCTGCCGGTCGAGGCGCGTCTTTGATTTCATTGGTTCTACCGGCGGAGAACAATCAGCCATTATTTCAATCTCTGTCTGTGCTGTTGACCACCGCAAAGCCACAGAAACGACATATGTCGTACGCTATACGGCTGTACTGGAAGGAAGCCGGGATCGAGCTCTGATCACGTGTTGATCACGCGTATGAGTCATTACAGTTTTAAATAGTTGTAGTATAGACTACTGCATCTCATTTTAACGTCAAGCTCTATAGATCGAGACGCGGCCCACAGGACTGCTCCTTTATTCCCAGGATATCGAACACAATTCACCAGAAGATACTTTACTCAGTTCTACCGACATTTGTCAGCTGCGATTCGGGCATCGCCTTCAGTTTGGGATACCGTCGAGACACCCTTGCAACATCGACGCTTAGACAACCAGAGTTGCGCGACCGAGTATGAAGCGCGATCACAAACCGCACTAGTCAGTAATAACTTGTACCTAAATAATAAAAATGGTGAAAGACTGTTGTATCAATAAAATATCAGGTGGTAATAAGAATGAGCGGAATAAAACAACCAAGTAGCCCGATACTATTTCTTTAATATTTTCCAGACATTACACTGTTACAAAACATAAATTTTCGACATCCTCAACATTTGATGCATATATTCGTATATGTTTTTGACAGTCAGCGACACACTGAACACTTACAACTCAATATCATGATAAACTCTGAATACAGTAACCGACAAATTCAACAACCTCCTTCAAAAATAGTACCATTCACTCCCCATATTGACAAGAATATAAATATATGATCTGATCTTCCCGATTTACCCTGTGGTATTTTAGAACCATTATTTATTAATAAAATTAATCAAGCTGTAAAATATTACCATATGACCGAAACCATTTTTATTACGGCAGTCTTCAAAATTGAGTTGATAATTCATTGGAATCATATTTTTCCATAGCATGATCTGGATTTTCCTATTTTTTTATTATAAATCAATACGGAATATCAACGCGTTTTAAACTGCTGAAACTGTTATTTCAAACCGAAAATAAGTGTCACAGAGTGTGCTATAGACAGCAATGGCACAATTTTGCGTTAGAGTTGCGGTTAAAATAAAAAACAAATCTAAAAAAAAAAGAATGAGAGCGCTTTTAAGTGAAAACAAACTTCATCAGCCCTATTTTGAAAACCACCTAGTTTGTATTATTTAAAATACCCCGAGGAGAGAATAGTTTATAGTATTGGTAGTTCAGTGTCAAATCAACAATAAAATAATATTCAACTTAACTTAGCTTCCTTTAAAAAAATACACAAACTACAAAAGGTAACATTTACAATGTTTCATCATTTTTCGATAACAGTTAAAGCTATGTGTGTAGGTACTTTGATTAACTTACCATCTAAAAAAATATACAATTATGGCGACATATGTATGCATAACGGTAAATTATATACAGTTCTTACAAACTAACATTTGAAAATGCTTGCAAACGATTTTATCCTTAGTTTCGACGTTGCGTACCATTATACATGACTGGTATTTCTTTACCCATGTATATTTCAATCCTTATGCTAGAATCAAAACTTATTTTAAACTAGTCACTAAAAATCCATCTAGGTGTAAGGTATCTCACTCTGCAAAACCGATGATATTACATATATAATTGGTGCAAAATATATGGCGTGGCATATTATGTTGGGCAGAAATGGAACATATGGCAACCACGCAAATTTTCCCTGACATGTGAAAAAACTGCGGTAATATTTTGAACGACAGTGGAAGGCAACCATGCTGACCATAGAGCAACAGTGTACAACCGATGTCTAGTGAACAACTATTTTGAGCAAGTTTTTTGCCAAAACTTTTTTACTTTGTGCAATTATTTTTCTGGTTCAAGAAATATGAATGCATGTTTCTTCAACATAAATATAATTGAGTTTAGTTTAAATAGGAGTTAAACAAAATTTTGGAAAAACATATATGGAATACTTAAACTTTTCCGTTTTTTTCTGTTTTGACTAGCTGAACGACATAACTGATAAATTTTATGAAAATCTAGGTATAAAAAATAGTATCGACGAATTGTATCTTCAAACTAGAAGCAGGGCAAATCGTTCCTTGCTGTGATTTGATTCCGATCACGTAACCGATTACTTCAGCTAGTTCACGATTTCTTTTAATTCCGATTCATCTCGATTCTGATTTCCGCAATTCCAAAACATACCATCGGTATTTACAAGCACTACAAAGGAAAGACACCGCAGTAGGAATCGGTTTCATCGATTCCGATGGTCTCAAATGGTGGAAGAGTAATTTACAGTTTGCTTTCATTTGCCGGGTGTCTCTAATTCGACACTCCTCTACAAGACGGCGTAATTAGAATTGTGGTAATGTTATTGTTATTTTGAAATCCAATCTCGAATAAAGTCAGAAAAAAAATTAAAACGCTTTTGGGAAAACTCCAAAAATACTCTGAATTAACGAAACTATCGACGTTTTTTTTTTAACTCCGCCTCTGGTAGATGCTGGGTGGATTGAGTAGCTCAGTGACTGCCAGTGCCGGTCCCAAGCCCGGATAAAGGAGGAGGGTTGTAGCGGCGGGTTGGCTCCCCGCCCTGTGGAAAAAAAAGCATTGCTAAAAACCCATACAGCAGCCTCGGAATTAGGACGGATTACACGGAAAACGACAAAAGCAAAGAAAACGGTTAACGAATATTGGATGCTGGAATATACAAGGACTAAACACTAAAGATGATCAAGTATTTAGAGAACTCCACACATACGACATCGACATAGCAGTACTCAGCGAAACAAAGAAGAAAGGACAAGGAAACAGCTACAAAGATGAGTACATATGCTTTTGGAGTGGAGTAGAAAAATCGAAACGGGCCAAAGCTGGTGTAGCTATTGCAATAAAAAAGGTCATGGAGAAGTTCATAATGGACTGGAACCCAGTTGACGAAAGGATCATAACGGTTGACATGAAAATAAAAGGAAGAGAAATTAAAATATTCGGTATCTACGCGCCCACAGACGACTCAGATACAAACACAAAAGACAAATTTTTTGACAAACTCTCTGAGGAAAATTAGATAAGATCTTGATAGGCGACCTGAATGGAAGAGTGGGCAAAGCTCTTGACAGTAAAATAATTGGACAACACGGAGAGGAAGTAGTCAATGAAAACGGAACCAGATGGATAGAGCTTTGTGAACAACACTCGTCAAGAATCTTAAACGGATTTTTCCAACACAAAGACATACACAAATATACTTGGACTCAAAAAACAAAAAACTTGAAATCAATTATTGACTATGTCGTGATTAAGCAGGACACTTCCATAATACCCTATGATGTAAAAGTTTGGAGAGGAGCTGAGTGCGGTTCAGATCACCTGCTAGTAAAAGCACCCATTGAAATTACTTACAATAAACATCTCATATATCAAGAACAAAATAACAATGGAAAACCCACAAAGCGATATAACATAGACAGCTTAAGGGATGAATCCACCAGTTTCCTTTACAAACTACGTTTAGCACAAAAACTGGACGAAGATATTAACGGCAAGGCAGAAGAAATGTATGAAACTTTGAAACACAAAATTCACGAAGCAGCACTAGAAGCCCTTGGTGTTAAAGATAGAACGGAACACAAAAATTCTTGGTGGACGGACGATTTAACCCAACTGGTAGAAGAAAAGAAAAACTTATATCTTAAATGGTTAACTACAAAAGACGATGAAGATCGAAAAAGCTATAATCGTTTTAAATATATAGTAAAAAAAGAAATTAAAAAAATAAAAAACAAAACATGGGAAACCAAATGTGCTGAAATTAGCTCAATGGTAGGAGGATCTAGGTCTAGAGAAGCTTGGCGAACTATAAATGGTCTTAAAACACGAATGAAAGAAGAAAAATAAATCCCATAAAAATAGAACAGTGGAAAGACTACTACAATAATCTACTGGCAGAACAACGTGGAGAGTATTTAGACACGCAACTAGATATAGATCAAACGGGAGTTAACAGAGTAGATACCATTCAATTAGAAGAAATAAAAACAGCATTACAAAAAATGAAAAATAATAAAGCTCCGGGACCGGGGGATTTGCCTATCGAGTTAATTAAACACGCCACCACAAGAACGCACGAGCTACTTTGTGTAATTTTTAACAAGTGCCTGGAAGGGGAAACGATTCCCAGAGATTGGAGGAGCTCTTACATAAATTCCATTTATAAAAAGGGAAACAGGAGTGACTGTAGTAATTATCGGGGTATTAGTATTACATCGTCCATCGGAAAGCTGTACGAAAGAGTCCTAACAGCCCGAATAGAAGACGAAGCCACGGAAATTGAAGAACAAAGTGGGTTTCGACCTGGGCGATCCTGTGTGGACAACATATTTACAATAAAACAACTGACAGAAAAGAGATTAGCAAGAGGAATGGAGCTACACGCTACTTTTATAGATCTCCGCAAGGCATTCGACTCCGTCCCTTTGCAGAAATTATGGATCGCAATGAAAGAAGCAGGCATAAATAGCAAATACATAAACGCCGTAAAAGCAATGTATAGAGAAAATCAAGTGGTCGTTAAAGTCGGAAATCAAGTTTCTGAGGCTTTCCCACAAACAAAAGGTGTTAAGCAGGGCTCCTGCCTCTCTCCAACCCTGTTTAAAATTTATCTCTGCAGCGCTTTAAAACAGTGGATAAGAAAGTGCAGCCCCATGGGGATATGGTTAGAGGACTTTCACTTGTATACAATCCTCTTTGCAGATGATCAGGTAGTCTTTGCAGAAGACCAGCAAGACATGACTTACATGATAAACAAACTTATAGAAGAATTCACTAAATGGGGTTTGGAGATAAATATACAAAAGACACAATCCATGACTATAGGAGGCACAGGACAAGACATCGAAACAAAAAGCGGAAAAATAGAAAACGTCGGACAGTACCAGTACCTAGGAGTTTCAATAGATGAAAGCGGAAAGGATAATAAAGACATACTAAGGAAAATAGGAAAAGGAAAAAATATGATTAAAGCACTACATCCGATCTTGTGGAGTAAGAACCTAACAAAGAAAACAAAAAAAATTATATATCAGGCTATGATTCAGCCAGTACTGTCGTATGGGTCAGAAGCGTGGGTTGTAGATAAAAATATGTCACAAAAGCTTCTCTCAACCGAAATGATGTACTGGAGAAGATGTTCCGGTTTAACTTTACTTGACCAGGTTAGAAATGAGACCATCAGAGAAAGAATGGAAGTCGAAAATACAATAATGGACGATATAACAGAGAGGCAGTTAAAATGGTATGGACACCTGCAACGAATGAACGAAGAAAGGATACCATTAAGGGTTTGGAAATGGACACCAGCACAAAGAAATAAACGAGGAAGACCACGAAGGAAATGGATTTCAAACATCCATACCGCAATGGAAAGTAGAGGACTACATGAAGGAGACTGGAACGATAGGATACGATGGCGTATGGGTTGCGAGAAGCGACCTTAGGTTGCAGAAACTCGCCATATATATATATATATATATCGACGTTTTTTTCAAACAGTTCGCTCAACTCGTACAACCCGGCTTTAAGCACTGGTAATGCAAAGGTCGAACCCGATTTTGAAAACGAAATCACTCGAATCGGAATCGAATCCACCGAAACCGATTCCTTCAGTTTCTTCTGCGGTATCGTTCATATGGAACGACTCTCAGAACCGACCGAGCTCTACACCAAACAAGGCATCAAAGTAAAAATGTTCATACAAAAAACATTTTAATTTTCACAAATGATGTCAAATGTTCATCTATGTGTAAGACACTCAGAAATTCTGCCAACTTCAGCTGACCTTTCGTTTTACGAATTTTAAAATCACCTAACATTACCGCGAATACTTCAAACACCGAGACTTATAATACGAGACCTACTTCACACTAAAATCTATAATTGGCAAACATGCAGTGCAAGCTTACAGTTCACAAATGTGTTTTGTGGTTGCGAACCACAATGAGCAATTGGAAAAACAGCCGTAAAAATCTAAAATTTAAGTATACTGTAAAGTGCATACAAGATATCACGAAATAAAGAAAAGGTTGACGTGCGTTCCACTATATTTAACAAAATGTTTAGTGTCATCAACTCGTAATTGTAAGCGTAAAACAAAGTACACTTTCACAAAACGTTGAATGCCTCTTTGGAGGGCAACAAGACAAAAAAAAACATTGATTTTGCTCAGATTATGTCCCATTTTGAAAGATATATATTTATTTGTGAGAATTCCTTGTTATAAAAAATACCTATAACAAGATAACTTTGACAGTTTCAGGATGCTGTCCCTCATATAATCCGGGAAATTTGGAGGGATACACAAGCCAAAATCGTAAAGATTTCCACCTGGATATATCCCGAAGGAACTTAAGTCGTGCCGGGGAAAAAGTCCGTCATCTACTTTTCATCAATAATGATAATGAATTGATAACGTCCAGCCCTAACTATACTTTAATTTTATATTATCCTGGTCTTGACTCGATGAGTCTGTGTAGATCAAAAAAATGCAAAACAACTGCTGTAGGTTTGTGTATGGTCTTCAAAAATAGTCATTTCTTCTCTAAGATCAAGGAGTCGAAATGACTGAAAATGGATTAACAATTTTAATGTATTCTTAAGGTATTTGTACATAAGGTAATAAAGTCTATCTATCTCCTCAGTAAATTTATAGCTAGAGAAATCATTATTCTTAGAGTTCTGAGGCAAAATAATAAACCTTATAATGCCTTTGCACTACACCGGATTGTTTCAAAAATGTTTTACTTTCAATAAAGTGAGCCATTTGACCTCTATTGGACTGAAACTTATTGAACACCCTCCTTACAGTCCAGATCTTGCTCCCTGCGACCTTGCACTGTTTCCGCATATGGAAATGAAGCTAAAAGAAAAACGGTTTTCTAAGGACCTTAGGGCTTGGGGCACATTCCCGGGTGAAACTTGGCAGACGGGTTTTGGCGGATGGAGAAGTGTATTCAATGTGGTGGAAATCACTTTGAACGATGTCAATGAATAAAGCTGTATTGCGAAACTTTTATAGTACGCTTTGTATACAATACGTAGGAAACAAATTTTGAGACACTTGAATCTAGCTAAAAAATTGTTTGCCAAAAGACTGGCCAAGTGAAGCAATTTTGTGACACGGTGATTTTTTTGAAAAAATATTATTTCTTAAATACCATGTTCTTCGCATCTAACAGTTCTCAGAAAGTGCATATTCTATAACAAGGCACTGTAGTTTCATCAAAATGGAGCAAAATTATTTCAACATTTACTTTAAAATTTTTGTTCATTCAGGACTTTTTAGAATTTCCTTAGCAATAAAATGTCTATATGAAAAAATAAAAAATCATTTTTATGCCTAGTTTTCACTGATAAAAAATAGACGCGAAACGTTTTTTTCCTGGCTCAACCCATTCTCTTGTCTTAAGACACATTATTATACCACTTTAAAATCTCCCTCCAGCGAAACTAGGTCCTTTATTCGTGAAATTTTGTATGCATTTAGACTCAAGATGAGTAATGGATAAACAATCCTAAACCTACATAATCCAAAAGATCAAATGAACAGCATAGGGCTACGACACAAAACCATAATTATACCAAAAATATTTGTAACATGTATTGAAAAATATTCACATCTGTTAAAAAAATATAGAGAATATCTTGTGGAATACTCCAAATTACATCACAGTTCTCAGAAAGAAAATCAAGCTCAACGCTTTTTCTTCTAAAAAAATATGTTTATTGCAAAAATATGTGTGAAAATTTTCAATTTTTACCTTTTAGATTGCTATGCTTACGTAACTATAATCACCGACGATTCCTATTTCATCATATCATTTTCGACACTGAATAGCACTAATCAAAAAATAGTTTTAATATTTAATACGTACTTTTCTTGCAAATTTATTTGCTTTAAACCAACTAAAGGATAAGCTTAGTGCATAAAAAATGCGAGAAAAGTAATCACTAGTTTTTGTGCAATATGCTGATATATAATACCTCGTGACAACAACTATGTTTTACATCCCTCATCATTTTTTGAATTACATTCATCTTCGCAGCTGCTCTAACCCTAATTATCCAAATTCGAAACGTACAACACCACAGATTCCGAACTCCAGATAATGAACTTTATATGCATTAAAAAACTGTTACTCTCTATAAAACACGACTAAAACCTAAAATGTGATCCATAAAATATTGAAAAAACCACCGTTGCAAAAAAATGCTGACTAAAAAACTCGCTGGACCATAATCAAGCCAAGTTACAATAAGAGCTGAACACACGCAAATTCTTGTTCAATTCGGAATGCGAGAAAACGTAACTCAGTGCCTTACCAGCTACGGACATACATGATAGGCCCGTGTTTAATGTGTGTAAGAGAGATGAGGAGAGAAGCATATACGTTACAGCTAAATATATATTTCGAATTCTGAATTCACCAAGAATTAAAGTGTATGCGGATTCTAAGGATGAAGCGGTATTAAAAACAACAAATAACAGTACAGATGTAAAAGAATTAAAACTAGGATTCGTGAACACACAGATAAAAACTAAAGAGAGGACTTCTCTTCATATTATACGAAAACATAAAAATCAGGTTTATAACAAACTTAAACGTAATCTCATCACAGCCCCTAGTCTCTTAGACCTAACCCTCGTTTGCAAGCTTGATAAAAAATATATATGGCAAAGAGCTGTCTGGTATATACAGGCATATAATCCGGGAGATAACACGTCATTTTTAAAAAGCAAAACTTTAATCCAGGCGCTTGATTCTGAGTTTCTACACTTGAAATAAATTTTGATATCGCCTTAGAGTCATAATTTTGACGTGATAATTAGTTAGAATCAGATGTCATAATTATCATGGTGAATCATAAGATGATGGCAAAAATTCTTGTTTAGACAATTTCACTAAAAACGTTATTCAAGTTATTCAAAACAATTGTATACGTTTCATCTTTGGCTTACGTAAATTTGATCATGTATCAGCAAAATATCCCGTTCTAAACTGGTTAAAAATTAATGACATAGTCAAGTACCACTATTCAGTTTTTGTTCACAAATTGCTACTCACGTCTAAACCATCTTACTTGAGGGAAAACATTTCATTTAATAATGAATAGAACTCTCAGAGAAAATAATATTAGAATACCCCAGCATACGTCCACACTTTTTGGACGTTGCTATTATTTATAATGACCTTCCTAAAGTATATAAAGAATTTTCATTAACTGTCTTTCAACAAAAAGTTAAAACAATATTACTCAACCCTCCAAACATATAATTTACGTAATCGTTCATTTCTTTTTTATTCCGTATTTAATTCAAGGTAATAATTTTTGGTGTACTTGGGTTTGGAAAGTATGCTTTTTTCTTTTTTTGAATGAACCAAATCTGTTTGTGGATAGTGTATACTTTTGAACATCTGCTAGCGACTATATGGTTAAGTGTAAGAGTAGCAGCATGCTAAACTTAGCCATGTAAGTCTGACATTTGGCTACGTAATTGTGGATAAATAAGGACGTCTATTATTATTGTTAATTTCAAAAGTCAAAATTCAGTTATAATATCTCCATTAAATAATACCAACAATCTGGAAACCAAGAAGGAAATTTCTGCAAATAAACTGTTTAAATGCGAAAATATCAATTTAATCTCGATAATGGCGAAACGAAATACAAATGAGTTCCTTGGTAAAATCCTTTTCAAAAATGACATGAGATTTCCCAGACTAAAATTACAAGTAGGAAATGTCAAATAAATATTCACCACCGTTACTACATAATAAACAGCTATTAACAATACTATAGAAGACGATGCGTGTGAGTAAAAAATTTAAACGGTCTGAAATAAAATGCATTTTGAGATTCTGGTTCCCAAAACGTGAACAAAAACCTACGATTCGTCCGGGATTGTGGCGGCAGCACTACTCATTCCATTCCTAACTTTCTCCAGCACTTTATTGACGTAATCTGTTGAATTACCAGCTATCTTCACTCCTGCAAAGTACAAAAATAGCTGCATTGTCGAGACGTGCATTTTTAGATCAATCATTTTTTAGTAGTACATCATATCAGGAATGCCCCACTCAGAATCTAATCATCTGATATCATCTCTACTTTTTGCACAGAACCAACAAGCATTCCCTCACAAAAATCAAAATAAGAGTCTCAAAGTCTGCTTAATGAATGTTTTGATATTATTGGAGCAAGAATATTAATCCTGATAAATTACTGTTTAAAATATGGCGAATTTCAACGAAACTGTAGTGTTCTTCCATAACTCCTGATTAAAGTTAATAATTCTGAGTTTTACATCAATATGCGGCCTATAAATGTTCTACCAGATGTTGAAAAACGTCTTTGAAGAAATTATTTACGAATTGATCATCGAATTTATCGGTGAAAATAAAATTTTAACAAAATTTCAAGTTGGATTTAGGAAGAAACAACTGAAACGGCAATACAAATGGTTTTAGAGGACTGGATGAGATGAAACATACAGTGACAGTGTTTTTGGACTTCAAAAGGTCGTTTGAAACCATTGACAGGGATAAATTCCTTTGAAAATTGGATCACTATGGATTAAAACTACCCAATCGACAGAAGTCAAAAAAGCAAAACTGGATCTACAATATCAAAAAATATTTCTGTAAGTGTACCACAAGGTAGTAAACTAGGTCCACTACTATTTATTTTATACATTAATAACATTTGTAATATTTTAGATTGTAAATCCAGATATAAGCAGGTGATACATTGGTATACATATCAGATGAAAATATAGACACGGCTTTAAAAATGCTAAATTCTGACTTGGCAAAAATCATAAATTGGTTTAATGTAAATAAACTGAAATTGAATGCTATTCCTACATTGTTTCTCTTAAGCTCATCCCACTTCTGAATACGCGATACAAAAGATGAAAATGTCAGTTTGTGTCGACTTCTTTGAACCGCTTTATTTGGAAAAATGATTTCTGAAATTGATAAGTGATTATTAAATTGTTTACTTACTGGTGCTGTGCTTCAAGATTTTTTCAATATTCATAGAGAGCTCCTCCTGCGTCTCACTAGACTGTTCGCTCAGTTTCATCACAAGCAATTGTTTTATCTGCATAATACCATTGAGAAGACGCTCTGTAAAAAAAAAATGACAATTGGCAAAAATGAAAAAAACAACACCATATAAAAGCCACAAGCCAGATGAAACATTTAGGGTTGACTCAAATGATGTTGTTGGTAATGTATTTATAAACGTCCTCAATTGGCAATTAATTTATGTGACTGGGTACTGATTCACAAACATATTTAGCTTGACGAAGACACGTACAGTATATTCAGATAAGAGATAGACCGGATGTAAACAAAAGGTTCGGGTGATTTTCACGCTAACGCCGCCGTCTCGACGTAAAACAGGAGCCCCCATTGGTCAATTCGCAATTAAATGCCTATGCCGAGCGGCAGAGCAGTCGTATCAAGGCAGAGTCACATTCAGGTTCAGACGTGTTACGTATGTCGTGTGCATCATTGCAATTTGATATTTCTTTGGACGTTTTCGTTTGTTATCTTATTAAGTTGTTTAGTTTGTCGTTGTTATTGTTATACCTTGTTATTGATTGTTATTGTTATCAACTGCTTGCGCAAAATGCCCAGTAGTACAGATACTGCCGATGAAGTTGTAAACTCCTGTAGTCCACCTAGGAAACGCTCTAAAAAAAGACACCTGAGTGCAGAAATGAAAGAGGTCATTTTGAATATATATAAGATCGAGCGCGAGGAGAACAAGGCATCAACCATCAAAGAAATTGTGGGGTGTGTCGCGCATCAGTGTTTAATGTGTTAAGACAATACAAAAAAAATCACACCTTTTCTGAGCCAATGACCAGTAAACATCGCAAAAGTATTGTCAAATTATTGGATGAAGCTGATAAGCATGCGATTAGGAGGAAAGTGCATGAATTCTTCTTTAGGAATGAAATACCTACTATAGATAAAGTACTGCAGGAGGTAAATGGAAATACAACGTTGCCAAATTTCAAACGATCAACTTTCCATGCGTTACTGAAGCATTTAAATTTCAAATGGAAAAAACGGGGTCGTAATAGTTTACTACTGGATAGAGAAGAAATTGTGCTATGGAGGAGGGATTATTTAACAAAAATTGGGAAATATAGAAATCAAAACAGGAAGATTTATTACCTTGATGAAACGTGGGTAAACGCAGGACACACTACAAGTAAAGTATGGGTTGATGATTCTGTAACTTCATCCAGGAGGGCCTTTCTAGATGGACTGTCCGCCGGATTAAAAAATCCAGCAGGTAAATACGAGTAATAGACAACAATCGGATGTTTTTCAAACCTTGGGAACAAGGTTCTAAACATTAATTCCAGGGGGCAGATAAAATATATTACTATATTACAAGTAACAAAACTTTTATAACTTTCGATAAAATGCGTGGATGTTTTATTGTCATTTTCATTTGTTAGAACTTTTTTAAGCCATGTTTTTATGTGTTTTCGATATTTCAATAATTTTTTAATATAATCTTAAAATATGACGAATATTATAAACTTAAAAAAAGTTACTAAGTTTGATATTGTGTACCGTTCCTAATATTTCTAATCATTTTAATTCATACTTTAAGCTTTATAAAGTTATAATTTGTTAATATTAATATTTGCGCGTATTTCAGGTTCCTGATCATTCATTTTTTAAAGGTTTATAACTTTAAATTAAATTGTGAAGCGCTGAGTAATCATACGACGTTCAATATTCTTTCTTTCAATATGACTAAATAATCCCAATTATAGCAATCTGATACTCATGTCTCAATGTTTTTTCGCTGAATGTGATGAAAACATTTGAAAAGGGTTCGCTTATTGAAATAAATCTACACCAGTTAGTACTTCGATTTCCAGGTAAAGGGAAAAGGCTCATTATCTGCCATATTGGCAGTGAGGATGGATTTGTTGTTGACGGTCTGTGGTGCTTTGAGTCTAAGAAAACTGGAGATTACCACGAGGAAATGAATGGCGAATCGTTTGAACAGTGGTTTTCAAAAATTTTACCGAACTTAGAGGAAAACGCAGTAATTGTGTTGGATAATGCGCCTTATCGTTCTCGAAGAATGGAGAAGATACCAACAACGGCTTCAAGGAAAGTTGATGTTCAAAATTGGCTCCGCTCGAAAAATATCAACTTTGAAGAAGCAATGCTGAAAGTACAATTATTAAGAATTGTCAAGGATCACAAGGCGGAATATCAAAAATACGCCATTGACGAAATGGCAGCAAGTCAAAATAAAACTGTGCTCCGTTTACCTCCATACCATTGCGAGCTCAATCCCATTGAGCTCATATGGGCAGAGGTTAAAAATTATATAGCTAAGCACAATACAACTTTTAAATTTTGTGACCTCAAAGGACTTTTCAAAGAAGCACTAAAATTAATAACAGCGCAAAAATGGGAAAACTGTATTAAGCACGTGAAAGACAAAGTTGAAAAGAGAATGTGGGAACTGGACAATATTTTAGAGGAACAAGTCGAGCCATTCATTGGACGTTGGTGCTTCAGGCAGTAGCGATGATGAAAGCTCATCAAGCTCATCTTTCCAATAAAAGATGTCGTTCATCAAATTCGGTAAGTTATAAGTAATTATAAAGCTACTGTATTTTTTAATTAATTATTGACATTTTTGAACCCATTTTGGCAAAACCTATTCAAGAATCTACTTTCTGACAATGTTCAACCATGCACATTTTTTTACGTTTTGGACGTTTTAATTTGGTTACATATTTACCTAGAAATCAAAAAATATACTAATCAATATTCTAAAAGCAATTTTAAGAGATATACGATTATTTTTAATTTAGGTTAATTTAAACGCCATTTTGAGATTATATTCGACTGTATTTCACCAAACATCAGGCGGCATCCGAAGCTGGAAATCGAAGCGAAAATTTTAAAACCCTTATGTATATTTACATCATTATATATTTCTTACCCCACCCCCACATGATCCTATATCCATCACCAATCGTATACACATCGAATTGTGCTAATTTACTTCAAAGTTACGCAAAGCAGCATCTACTATCTAAAATATGTACTGCGTGACTCTTAATACGTCCCTGCCGAATGTTACAGCATTCGATGATCACGTGGTCTTGTTTATGTCCGGTCTATCTCTTATCTGAATATACTGTAGCTTCGTGAAGTGACTCAAGGATACTGAAATAACATAACAGGTGAAATAGAACTACCGAGCCACATCAACGTACATCTCTTAATCTCTTAAGTAACGATACTATGAACTTTTTCAAAAGTATTCGAGTACTGTTATCTGGACAGACTGCTTTTGTTCTTGAGAAATAAAATTTTGACAGAGATTTAATACGGTTTTCGAAATGGAAAATCTTCGGCAGCACCAAATCACAGCCTCTAAGGAACGCTTGTAAAATGATTGAGGTCATGTTGGGATCTTTTCTGATATCAGCAGGGCTAAGAACTTTGAAAAATATGACTCGCGAAGCAATATGGAGAGTGGTTATAATTTAAGGAATACATACTGTCTGCGTACCCCTCAACATAGCCTTGCTTTATCAGCAAATGGTCCCTACATAATGCCTATCAGATTGTTCAACAGGTTGCCAATTGTTATCAAAGCTGTCACCAATTTCAATGCTTTCCAACGCCGAGTTAAAAGTCTATTTATGGAAAACCCTTTTTACATCATTGAAGAATACTTATCAGACTTGTGAATTGTATTATTGCTAACAATTAATTTTTCAATCTGTTCGTCCTTCTATTTTTGTTTTATTTGTTATTTATTAACATATTTTTAATTTGTTTGTTTATGTTGTTATTTTGTTATGTTTGTATTATTTAATTTACTTAGTGTTCACTCGATCACAACTTCTTAGGTTTTTTTTTTCATTCATCATTGACAATTTGCTGATATTTTTTCAAGTCAAGTGGCAATAAATATATTTATTTATTTAGATATTTGACTGCGTCAATCATGCAGTGCTGTTGCAGAAAATGTCAAAGTATAGCATAAATGGTCCACCATATCATTGGATAAGGTCTTTTTTATGGAATAGTTCTCAATCTCTCAATTTGTATCATCGATAGTTGTCTGAAGGCACCTATCAAGACTGACATCACCATAGACGTCCCTCAGGGGTCTATCCTAGGAACTATGCTATTCAGTCTATACTTAAATGACCTTGAGTACTGTTCCTCTGAAAGTAGATTCATTTTATATACAGATGATACCTCAGTGGTGATATCGAATAAGTGTGAGGCTACCTTAGAGAGAGATTGTGGAGTTTTACTGCAAAATATTCACAAGTGGTTTAGAAGCAATCAGCTCTACTTAAATTCTGAAAAAACTTCAGTTGTCCAATTTCATAATATCCAGAAGAAACCTATAGCACAAAATTCTAATTTTAATGAATCAGGAATGTCCCTTGACACGCAAGTAAAATTCTTGAGCTTGTATCTAGATACAGGTTTAAATTTTAAAGACCACTGTGTATATATTGTTCCAAAGATAAACCCAATCATATTTTACGAATATTTTGCGAACGGTCCTTATTCAATCACAGATAGTTTTTGTTTACTATGCTCAAGTTGAGACACGACTGAGGTATACACTACGCTTCTGTCCACAAATGTTCAGCAAGTATTTTTGGCCCAGTTAGAGTGGTTAGATGTAAGATAGGAATCAGTACTAGGCGTTCTTGTAATAATATTTTTAAGCGTCTTAAGATTTTGACTTTACCATTTATTTTTATACGAGATGTCTACTGTTATGCACAAAAATAGGTTTTTATCCAATTTCAACTCGTACTAGACTAGACAAGCTGGAGACTTAAGTGTGTGTTTTTCCAAGATCGGCATCAGATCTCCGGAAATACTGGGTCCAGGAATGTTCAATAGGCTACCAAATCATATTAACGAGCGTGGAGATATACATCATTTTAAAGCTAAAATGACAGAATTTGTTGTAAGTAAATGTTATTATGCCATCTCTGAGTTTGTTATTTCATTATTTCTTTTGTTTTGTTTATTAGTTTTCACTCTGACGAATCCTAAACATACGTTATAGTGTCTCGCAGGATAATAACGAATTTGAAGGTACTATACATAATAATTTTGAATCATTCACTTACTGTGTTCATTCTCCAAGCCGCTGAGTTTGATTTTATTCGCCTCATGCTGCGCCTTTTTCTTCAACCGACAAGCTCTGGAAGCGAGTTTGTTCTTTTCTTTGCGAGATGTCGGTCTAACGTTAAATGGCAGTTCGCTCACTGGTGTCATATCGTTAATTATCCTGCTCAGTTTGTCCAGTTCTTTGCCGATACTTTGCAGCTTTCGAGCGTTCGGTGTCAAATCATTTCCGTCACCTTTGAACAAAAATGACGTCAAGTAGATTGAGTCTTTTCTTCCTAGCCCTCGTTAGAGGTTTCAAGGAAAAAGGACTATACCCTATTCGTAGTCCATTTACGTCCCGGTACAACTGAAATGCAGCGCGGCAAAGCGACAGCCGCCTAAGCGTTGCAATAGATATTGGTCAGACTATGAACAAGTGCAGGATTCGACAGGATAGAACTCAGGTGCGGGGTTATACGTTAGCATGTCGTCTACGGATACAGCAGATGAAGCTTAGAATATTTCTCCCAATGCTTCCTTCAGCCATGCCTCCTCCCCGAAAACCTGACAATAAGCGACATTTGAATATTCAGGCAAAATAATTTGTCCTTAACGTTTATAAGAGCGAAATTTTAAAGCATCCTGAAAAGAAAATTCATGATATTGAAAGACGTGTGGCGGACAAAACAGGCAAGACAATTTTCAACTTTGTTAAATAATATTTAATATTTAATAATATAAAAAATTGTCTCCTCCACACAAGACGCAAAGTCCATACATTTTTTGAAAGGCAGAAACTGCCCACCATAAACAAAGTATTACAGGAGGTTAATAGTGATGAAGACTTACCTACTTTCAAAAGGACCACATTCTATAGTTTACTCAAAGAACATCATTTTGAGTATAGAAAACGGGGCAGTCCTAGTATTTTGATGATCAGCCGAGAGTTTATTTTATGGAGAAATTATTTAAAATCAATAAAGAAATACCGCGACCAGGGCAGGAAGATTTATTACTTACTGAATAAATGCAGGACATACAAAACCTAAAGTATGGGCTGACTCTACAATTAAATCAGCAAGACAAACCTTCTTAGATGGACTAACCGTTGGCCTAAAGAATCCGTCAGGTACCTGTATCTAACCAGTTCGTCGTTTGTGTTGTAAAAATGGTGTCAAGAAGACTGAGCCAGCGCTGAAAACTTAGCATTATCTGGTAGATTTGGAACCAACACCTGTTAGATGCCCTGCTTGTATTATTATTAGTTTTCTTGAATACTATATAAAACAAGTATTTCCAGGAAAAGGAAAACGCTTTGTGCCCACTGCCCTATGGGCATTTGAGCGACTACCACGAAGAAATGGACGGGAGTTCATTTGAACGATGGTTTGAAGAAACGCTCCCAAAGCTTGAATAACAATGCAGTCATTGTACTTGATAATGCTGCATAGAACACTAGAAAACTAGAAAAAATACACACAATGCCCACAAGAAAGGCAGCAATTCAACAATGGATCCTATCAAAACACATTGGTTTCAAAGAAAATATGGTCAAAGCAGAAATTATCCAGCACAAATGTAAATATAATCTTAATGTTATTGAAGAAATGACCAAAAACCAGAATAAGGCTACCCCCTTATCACTACGAATTAGGTCCCATTGAAATGATTTGGTCAAATATAAAAAACTATGTGGCTTCAAGCAATAGAACATTCAAATTTTCCGACGTGAAAAATTTGTTTTATGAAGCTGTCAACAGAGTTACGGCAAACCATTGGAAATATTGCATCCGTCACGTTCAAGACACAATCGAAACAAAGATGTGGGATCTGGACAACATGACCGATATTCAAATTGAACCTGTAATAATTGATATTAACCATCCAGGCGATGATTCAAGTACTTACAGTGAATAAAGAATTGTGAAAAGTTTTTGCACTTCTTTCTATAAAAATAATCATTTATTTTGTTGGATTATTCCAAGACCATTGAGGAAAATACCGATCTGTACAGTCTCGCTTTTGGGCATGTTGTGTTTTGTCTGGGCGTAATTGGACTATGAATGGAGTATAGTCAATTCGTTTCTAAAGGCGGGATTTAATCCTGACTAGGTAGGTCTACCTCTACATATCAAACTATAGGATCATATTTCTGTTTCCATGATAGATGTAGGGACTCATTATGACTAACAGGTGCACAATATTACCCGAGATCAGCAGCTTCTTAATAATAGAAGGTCTTTCACTGACACCAAACTTGCAACAATTTACAACCTTTTACCGCATATAGCATTCAATCTACATTAATTAACCCCTCCAAGCAATGCCACTGGATCAATTTTCTAAATATATGCGACTACCTATAAGTATTGAACTCGCACAATAACTTTGTGTAAAATGTTCATCAAAAACTGAGCGGTACTTCTCAATAGGCGGTTATAAGATTAGGGGACAGACCGATAAACCAACGGAAATGAGTGGCTTGGTTTTTCGTGATATGTCGTATAATATCCAAAAAATGTTTTTTTTTTGTTTTAGCGGATAAAATGCTTCCTCGTCCAGTGGCGTACGAAGAAAAAGAAGTATGTTAGAGAAATACGTGTCGGATGTGTAAAAACTGTACACACCCTCAAAATAAGTTCCTTCTGAAGCGACACAGCGCTGGAGACGATGCTCCCACTCCTCAAAGCAGTGCTGGAACTCCGATATTGGACTAGCCTTCAGCTGGTCTATTATAGCCGTTTGAATGTTTTCCACTGTCCCATCCACCGAAAAAACTGGGCTCTTGACAAAACTCCATTTCCGTAGGCCTGCTAAAGTTTAGCAAGAGTTTCCGTCGATCTGTGCTCAAGTCTGAAGCAAAACCTGATAGCACACCGTTGCTCAAATTGATGTCATTCATTTTTAGAACACAATAGGAAAAATTTTCAAAAAAAAATCGCTACGGATAACCACATTATTCGAGCGAGTTCAAACTTGTACTGAAGGCGAATCACATGTTTCGCTGTCTCCCCTCCAAGCCTGGCGCCTCCAGTGTTGCCAGATCGAACGCTACGTTGCCAGTCTCATCACTTAATTTACAGACCTCGTAGTTATACTCTCCGGTTTATTGTTTTTTTTTTCTCTTTAAGAATAGGTTTTTCCGGCACACGGACTCATTTATGCATAAATGATGATATGAATATGATATGAAGTAACTTTAGCGGCCGCTATGTATCAATTAACCTATGTTGAACACAATATAGAGACCAAGGTATCTGACCTTATTTATTAATAATTGATGACAGTGGATAAACGTATCATGTAGCATTTTTTTAAATTGCTTTTTTGCATTAAACTAACCTCGAGGAGTGATTCTTTCATTCTATGATTACTCTGTTTCAAAAACAAGATTATAACAAACTAATTAAGCTAAATATTTAGAATGTTAATATCATAAAAAGCCCCAATAAAAAATGTTTACAATGGTTTTGTTACATGACACATTTATCCACTTGTGTCTTCAACTCTACTTGAAAGCTGCTCTGATTTTTTGAGTTTACCCGGTCGTAGATAAAACGCGGTATGCACCTTAGGCATAATAAGTGTTTGTTCTTTTGGATAATAGAGCCCACAGCGTTTCGCGACTTGGGCCCTAATTTCACGCCTCATGGCATTCACGTCCTAGACACATAAATAACTATCTGAAATAAAACCATCCATTAAAGAAGATGCCTCACCTTTTCTTGCTTTACCACTGTGTTTGATTCCCCTCACAGAACATTCAGTGCTGAAAACAGGATCAGTAACTTGGTTGAGCCTATGTGGATCTTCTAGCTTGGTCTTCATTACTAAACGTTGTCCTTTCGGTCCTTTGGCCTGCACGTTGTACTGCCAAAAGTATCGTTCTTTCTTACTCGACGATTGCTTGCCTTGCTTATCGTTTTCGTCGTAATCGGAATCTTTAATAAAAGAGTAGGTATGAGAAATTGGAAGTCATAAAAACCGACTTACGAAACTGAAGATCCATGTTTTAATGAAATAATGACGTCTCCAACGAACCAGATTAGAAAACTCGTAAGAATTTTTACCTACTTTAAAGTTGTTTTTTATCATGCCTCAAAAACATGCGAAATTTGAAACATGGCGTCAAGTACGGTGACTCTGTACTTCCTAAGCAATTCTTGACAAATGAACTTTTTTACGCATCAAGTACAGGGTGGACCAGCAAGACATACAAAAACTGCATTGCTCGCGACACGGGTAATGCAGATAAGTAGCTAACTATTCATCATTTGTTTGTTTGGGCGATTCGTAGGACCTTTGCCCATTAGTCACTGTCTAATGTACGTTAGTCGAATCTGTCAGTACTGGTTGTCCAGAAACCAGACAATGTCAAGGAAAAAAGAAAAGGAAAGAGAAGAAAAATGGAGAAGAGCAAAGTAAAACAGAAGTGTTTAGTTTAAGATGAGACACCTAGGCTTCTTGACTTGGTACACGGATTAATTTTGAGGTAAACTAAACAAATTTTGATTCGGTTTTGTTAGAGTGTAATTTTAAGTTTACTAAAAGTTCGCGCTAATTTTTCTGCAAATATCCCCTCTGCTGTTTCTATAGATTATCACTCCGCCTAAAATATTCAATTATTGGCGACAATTGCGACCGAACTTTACTAATGACTTGAGAAATGTGTTGCTTCTGCTCTTTAATCCTCTATACTGCATGACTATAGAAAAAAGGCGAAGTAACAAATTTGATCACATGATCTCCCACGCCTTTTCGAAAGTTCCCGTGGCCAGGAAAACGTATTTTGTAACGTTTTCAAAAGTCGCCGTACGAAACGTGGCTCCATCTTGTTGAAGAAACTTGTTAATATTATTATCCAGTTGGAGTCATAAAAGGAATCTTATTGCGTAAACGCTTTCCATTAACATTCAAGGTTTACCCATCGCCAAAAGATGAGAGAGAATTTTTAGCACTTTTGCATAATGAGTTCAATCTGGAAAGCTACAAGTAGATGGCGCTAGTTAGGTTGACGGTCATGGCTAAGGTTATGACAAGTTACCTTCTGTCAAATTTGTCAAAATCATGCATGGGTCGAACACGGAATGGTTTGTTTGCTAGACAGTTTGACCTCCAACGACACTAGCGCCGCCTAGCGGGAGCAAAATTCGATGAAATTCTGATAAGTTCCTCCATCACAAAGCGATCCATTATTGAATAGCAGAATGGATAAATGACACATGCGGAATAAAAAACGAGTAGGTCAAGTCACTATAAAAAATAAAATCTTACCATTGTCTGAAGTAAGGTCCTCTTCATTAACACTGTCAATATCACTATCTTCGTCATGAGAAAAGTCTGGCGGATCAGGGCTGAGCAAGCCTCCTGTAGAAAGTGAAGACGTAGATCCAGCTTCTGCCAGAGAGCTGGTAGACAGCAAATGCTTCCTGGGCTCTCGCCTTTGCCATATTTGTTCGAGACCAAGGTGGGTGTTGCTTGGCGCCGAAGAAGAAAGCCTAACACGAAAAGTCAGTATATTGACTCGTTATTATCTATAGTGATTCAAAAGTCAATTTTCGAAAAATAATTTCAATTCAAAAAGGGAGAAGGAACTATAAAAACAATGTCTGAATCATATCCATATCCAAAAGAGAGTAAAATCTACAAAGTTCACGTGATGACACACAAACAATGCAAGCTCGCACACAGCCCAAAAAACAAGGCAGTATTTAACGGAAGAAAACGTGGAATTATTGAACCATCCTCCATATAGTCCCGAAAATTAAAGATGTGTATTAATCTTCGTGGAGAATACTTCGAAAAACAATAAAGTCATTTAAAACTACCAACCGTGTCGTTTTAATTCCATATGCAAAACTTAAAAGACATCCCTCGTTCTCCCCAAAACAAGAAAAAAACCATTAAAACATTCGAACAGTATAATGACTTACCCTTTAATATAAACAGTGAGATAATAACACAGAGAACTGTAATGTTCTAATTATTATTAATAATAATAATAATAATAATAATAATAATAATAATAATAATAATAATAATAATAATATGTAATGTCTATTGAAATCCAATACAACTCTTTTCACTACTAAGAAATTCCGGCATGTTGACATTATTAGCAGTATTGCCAAGTTTTAAAAACATAGCTGCGTTCAAAAAAATCAAATGGTGTGACCCCAAATCGAATATTTATAATAGGTGAGGGAATGATTTCATGTCAAGGGACATACTCGTAGTTTAAATAGATGTTTTCGTATACATATTTATTTTTTAGCAATGAAAGCTTGACTATACAATCCATACTTATTACCAAATATTTTAGTAATATTCAATTTATAAGAATATGTATGAACAGATTTGATTGTATATATTCTTTTGATTAGTAATTTCAGACCCAGGGACGAGATGAGGGAATGACTTTTAGACTAATAAATTAATCGTATTTTTTTGTGTCAATATATTATCTAAATGTTTGCTTTTAAAATATTACTTGATATAATAAAAATGTTAAATTGATGATAAATCTATGCAACTTAGCATCAATGGCTCAGGACATGAACTTCGAAATTTGCTGAGAAATACCCACATATGGAAGTCAGAACAACCTTACCTTTGGAATGAGACACAAAACACGCCTCAAGGGATAATAAACCCTTAGGTAAGCTTTGAAAACCAAATCAATACATATAAATATAAAGCTTCATTAAAACAACTGAAACAAGACGGAAGAAATCCAGACTGTTTGTCTGCAGATATACAGTAATGGACAAAACTATATAGACAAATATGAATATTTACCTAAATACCTTTAGAAAACGAATTCATACTTCATTGCTTCATATACTAATGCGATATTAGTAGAAAAAGTAAATTCCTTGTTTTTACATTATCTGCAATGCACACAATACAAGTCTGGATATAAGCACTTTTTTATGAGGGACAAAAATATGTAGACAAATTCTTTTCAACATTAGTTTAGTACAATTTCGTGTCAGAAGAGGATTAGTTTGTGTTCATCAAGTATTGTGGAATAAGTTGAGTGATTTTAAGACCATGCCGCGTGGTCCAGAAATTTCTTTCGATGTGAAAACTAAGATCATTGAGTTATACAAAGATGGTCAACGTCAAGTCGACATTGCCAAAAATTTGAAGCTGAAGCGTAAAGCAGTTTGGGCAATATTGAACAAATATAAACAAAAAGGTATCTTGGAAGTCGCTAAGAGAAGTGGTCGGCCTAGAAAACTAAATGCTAGATCAGTTAGATTAAATAAAAAAATTTCGTCCAACCATCCGTTTAAAACTCCAAGTCAAATAAAAGCCAAAATCGAGACAAAAGGAATTGCCGCCAGTGTTTCTACGAAAACTATAAGTTGAAGATTAAATGAGCTAAGTTATTTGCACGTCGCCCGAGTAAGAAGCCGCTAATCTCGAGGAAAAACCATAAGGACCGATTATAATTTGCACGGTTGCATCTTGATTGGAGCATCTGTGACTGGAAGAGGGTATGTTTCAGTGACGAATCCAAGTTCAATATGTTTGGATCTGATGGTGTTCATTACGTTAGACGTCCTAGTGGACAAAGATTGAACCCCAAGTACACTTTGCCCACTGTCAAACATGGAGGCGGGTCTGTTATGCTTTTTGGGGATTGGGATGGGACCTTTAGATAGAATAGATGGCATTATAGATAAGTTTGTATACACAGGCATACTAAAGCATGTCATGTTACCATGTATGGAAGACAATGAACTTTGCTTCTTTTTTCTATAATTGTTTTGCTTGGTTTATATATTTTTGTCCATCATAGTTCCAGTTTTTTCAATTAATTTTTTATTGAAGGGAGTCTAATGAATTTATTTATGTATAAGTGAGTATTATGCTATAACGTATTATGTATACAGGTTGGTGTATTAATAAAACAAGTTAAAAAAGAAATACAGCACAATATTAATTTGTCTATATACTTTTGTCCATTACTGTACATATAGGAAGAACAGTCATGAATGCTGAGAATGTTTAGGGTTTAAGTCTCATAAATTTGTTAATCAATACGTTATAAATCTGACTAAGGTCGTCGGTGGCTGTTTTCTTGTTCATAGAATTGCTATGTAAAAAGATGAATACCAGTTTGCCGATTAAACGTTTTCTGTAGTTGGTTTCCTTGTCTAATAGACAGACTGATTCAAAGTTGAAATTATGATTACTCTGAAAATGATGAATTGTCAAATCCTGCAAGATGATTTATGGTACCACTTAATTGTGGAAATATTTCACTAAGATGTTGGAATCATTAAATCATCTTGAGCCGGTTCTGAATACGACACTGTCCAATGTGTTTACACGCACTCTATTTTGGATTTGGATAATATTCAAGTACCTCCAGCTGAAATACAAAAATCAAATCTCTCTAAGATGCTGGTAAAAGAAAAGTTACCTGGACTGCTGACTGCGCATGATCTTGCCCAAATGATGCGCCTGCACAGCATTTCTCTCGGGGAAAGACTGACCAAGCAGCGTCCGATCGGGCGAGTGGTATGGCTCCCTCTTGACGAGCAGTTCGTGCAGCGTGCTGTGCTTAGGGGGCGCACCGGACGCACTCAGCGGGGAGGACGCCGACTGAACTATAGAAGAGCTTGAGCTGTGTTGACTTTCGGGAGAAAACGCTGGTGCGAGGCTCTGCAAACAATTTTCCATCACATTTTTTTCCAAAATACGAGTATCATCTATTACTTTTTTTCTATTCGAAAAATCAACACACTTTTTGCGAGGTGAAGTCTAATTTTTTTATTGATAAATGAAGGTTCGTTTATGCCATTTATGTATGAAAAATAACATCAGTCATATGACCACCGCGGCTTCGTTTACAGGCCAATATCCGAACATCAAAATTTTCAATGACGTTTCCCCGAATAATCGGGTCTATGGCCTCAATTTCAGTCCGAATATTGCGCTTTAGGTCTTGAATTGTCCGGGGATCATTCGCATACACTTTTCCTTTCAAAAATCCCCAAAGAAAATAGTCAAGAGGTGTTAAATCGCACGATCTCCGGGGCCAACTGACATCTGAATTTCGTGAAATTATGCGGTCTTGAAATTTCGTGTGCAATAAGGCGATTGTTTGGCGAGATGTGTGAGCCGTTGCTCCGTCTCGATGAAACCAAAGATCGTCGGCACCAATACTATCCAATTGTGGCCACAAAAAGTCTGTTAACATGCCGCGATAACGTTCCCCGTTGACGGTAATGGCCTTTTCTTCGGCATCTTCAAAGAAGAATGGTCCAACGATGCCACCAGCCCATAATATGCACCAAACAGTCACTTTTTCAGGATAGAGAAGTTGTTCATAATATTGGTGTGGATTTTCAGCCCCACAGAATCTGCAATTTTGCTTATTTACGTAACCATTGAGCTGAAAATGAGCCTCATCAGAGGCCTAAAATCCGTCTTCTCTTTCCAGCATCCAATTAACAAAAACACGCCGCTGTTGATGGTCTCCCGGTTTCAATTCTTGTGTTAGTTGGATTTTGTATGGATGGTGTTGGAAATCAATGTGTAAAAACCGGCGTAAAGTGGTCTCACTAATTCCCAATTGTTGCGAACGGTACCTAGTCGAGTTGGTTGGATCTTCTCGCACACTTTCACTCACTGCGGCTATGTTTTCACGAGTACGAGCTGAACGAGCATATTGGTATGGTCTACGACCTTCAGCTGAACCAGTTTCCTCAAAACGATTAACCCCCCCCCCCCTATTACCCAATAATGACTACCATAACGTTTACACCCTGTAGATAGGTCATTAGCAGGGAGATAGACAGAAAGACAACAGAAATAAGTGGCGAAATGGGAAGCAAATTCAAGACTCACGCTAACCTTAAGCTTGTAGTAGTCAAGAGCACTGTTCGGGACGCTAGAAGGAAGTTCCAAATCTTTCTGGTACAACATAGTCTGCTGCAAGCCAGACAGGGAGTTGTTGTTCAGATGATGAGTGTTTGCATGAGCCGGCATTGAAGACATCTTCTGCTCGAGAGTGATATAAGTTTGTTCTTCAGGAAGAAGTAGATCGTCAAAACTCAAATCTCCTGAAACAACATACCCTCAATTGTTTGTTTCATCTAAAAATATTTCTCAACGTACCAAGAAAATTCTCATCATTGGCGTTCAATTCGGCCAGAGTAGGGCCTTGAATGAGGTCAGCCTTGTCAACTTGGAAAATGTCATCTTCATCCATATGAATGAAGGCCTCTGATTTCAGCATTTCATCAGTGTTGATTAGGCGATTCAGGCCACTCCAACAATTGGTTGAATCATAGGTGTCAATCTGCTGCATTTGTATTCTATAAAGATCAAATTTATATCACTAGAAGGAAACTAGAAATAACTCAGAAATGGATTCTTAAAATCATGTTCCGCAAAACTAACACCTATCCAACAGATATGATATATAAGGTATCCAAGATATGTGATTGTAGGCAACTCTATTTTGAGAGTGTGTTCACATATATTACAAAACATAAGCATTTATTAAATTTCCTCCCACATGACCATCACACCAGATCCAAAGATCATTCAGTACGCATACCAAAGCCTAAAAAGACCATAGGTCAGAGGAGTTTCACTTTCCTAGGACCAAAAATATATAACTTAATCCCCCCTCAGATAAAAGATATTAAAAATACAAAGGTTATGAAAAGGCATCTACGACTGTGGATTTTGGACCAGCACAGGCTCAAGATTCATTAAGCGATTGATATCAAAAATATATACTACTACTGAAAGCGGAAATCTCTCTAGATATTTGTTCAAAATGAAAAACAAATGTATAAATCAAACTGTTTGAATTCTTACTCCCTGAATTACTGCATTTTATGACTTATTTTTACCAATTTTTGTTCTTGTCTATTCACCTAATATTGCCTTTTGTTTCAATATTGTCTCTATCCCGATTGCGTCTACGTTCCGATTTTGCGTCTCCGTCCCGATTGTGTCTTTTTAAAAATTTTACCAGGACTTGTCTAATGAATTTTATATACATATATTTTTTATGTTTTTTTTTTTAGTCTTAAGTTATTTATACATGAGCTCATGCCCAAGCACAAGTTTCTGCGAAACTTTTTTGGGTCCATTCGTTTATTGTATAATATTGTCTTTCATCTACTACTGCTATACTTTTTCTTTTGCAATAAACTTATTATTATTATTATTATAGAAGAATCATCAAACAATTTGATAAATATCTATATTTCAAAAATCAAGGCTTCTCCAAAACAGATATAAATTCATAATACTAAGGATCAAATATACAGGGCGATTTACAAGTCGTGACCAAAAATAAAACATCATACACAGGACGCACTTTAAGGGAGGGTCTTCTATGTAACATTTTGTCCTCAAGGGCTTCATTAAAATGTTAGAGAGTGTTGAATTTTAAAAATAAAAAACATTTTTTTTAATGTCTTCAAAACCGTCATATGATGTTTCATTTTGGACTTGTGAATCACCCTGTATAGACCTTCCCTGAGGATTGGATGCTGTTTGAGAAATGATTTCACAGTCGGCTGTGACGGTCGTCATCACAGGTTTTCAAAATTTGGAATACTTTCATAACTTAAGTTGATTTTAAAAGATTTCTGGCCATTTCAAAATTTTGAAAATTCTTTAAAACCTCGAAAATTTTGAAAATAATGAAAACCTTGAAAACTGTGTATATTCTAGAAATTTAAAATCTTGAAAATTAAGGAAATATTGGCAGTTTGAAATGATGAATGGGACATTGCAACATCATTTATACGAGTATTAAAATGTATACAGCAAACAGACCTAATTCTTTTTTTATACAGAACACATTCAGGTAAATCCACTAATTATATATGTTATTGCCATTTGCCATAAGGCTCAAAATGGGACATGATTCTATTATTGAATGTCAGTCTGATACTGACAAGTTATGAAATACTCACCCTGTATCCACATAGAGAGGAGACTGTGAATTTTCTAGCTCTATCCCAAAGTCCCTGTATTCACTTCCATCTCTCCTTGATGGAATAGGAACACTTGCCGACATGTTCATGGTACCATCAATGATGATTGGTTCTTGCTTGATAACAATTCCTGGATCTAGGAAAAAATCCTTACCAAAATCACTCATTTCCGTGTTTCTGTAATGAAATAAAACACTCATTATAACAACTTGGAAAAATAACCATGTGCTTGCTTGATGATAAAATTAAGAATGTGGTATCATTTTAGTATGGCACACATATATCTAAAAGAACAAGTACGTAAGTAATCGTTGATAATTCATGGCCTCTTATCAATTGATTTTTGACCAAATTCCCCTTTTCTGATTTTTGCTTTAGCTTTCACCAACTTCCTGATATATATATTAAGAATCACTTGACCTTATTGTTATCAAAAAGTAATGAAGATATTTGGCTGATATGCTGGATAGCTCACATAATCATCAGTAAGATAACATTAGAGAAGATATTCTTAAAATATTAGGATCCTGCAGACATGTCAAGAAATTTACAAAATTAGTTAGCTTTATTTTTTCATGGAAATATGCTTTTAGGGAAAATGCTGTTTACAATGACTTTGATGTTAATACATAAATGTAGCCAAATTTAGACAAAATTATAACAATAGTTGAATAAAGTGTTGGTTATATAGCTTCACACTTGGATATCAAAATGAACGAGAGTAGCATAACACATCATAGAGAGGTCATCTTTTAAACAAAAATGGAATTGCAAGTGTAATTACGAATTTTGTGTTCAAGCTTACTAAACTAATATTTTTGTAGGTGGCTAGATATGTCGTTCACTGTTTCCCGATAACAAATGCATCTCTTATAGATATTCCTGTAATTTCACAAAAAATATGAAACAAAAAGGTGCTATTTAGGTACTCAGATAGGTGCTACTATTCGGCCAAGTAGTTGCTAATTGTCAGACAGCATTTGATTGGGTAGTTTTAGACAGAACTCTATTTAAAAAATTGTGGTAGTAGAATATATCTCTCCAATCAATTATGTCATTAGGACTTTGAGAAAAGTGAATGAAACACTCATAACTCATAACTCATAACACTCATAATAAGTCCTTTTAATATACATAATATTTGTATCAAAACAACAAGATACTATTTTTTCCTTTAATTCAGTCCTACACTGTCAACTTTGAACTACCATACCATTTACATATTTCAGGCAATTTCCCCAGATTCATCAAACCTTTGTCTCCTTTAACATTCCTTCACTTTATTTAGGGTATTTTTTTCACTTGGTATCCATTACTGAATGAAGTGAAAATGTGAAATTTTATTTCATAGTCTTGTGACAAAATGGTGGGATTTGACATACTATGAAATTTTGTTCACTCCAGTAGATGAACACAATATCTCTATGCTTGTTATCTTATGACAGTCTGTATGATTAGATAGAAAAGATAGATTGATAAGAAACATGCTATCCCAGTAGTTGGACACAGTTGTCTTCCTATTGGATTTTGACTAGTATGATGATCCAGTCAGCAGCCACTCCAATTTGACTTTAAAATATTAACAAATTAAGATTGATTTTTTTCATAATTTTTAAATGTCTTTTGCATATGTAACAAGAACAGCATTGCTATATTGTCACCTGATGATTCCAATTGTGCTTAATGTTTATGTCACTCACTAGACCAAAATTGAAGAATTGATTGCATGCTTTTTTTGACAGGCTAAGAAGGTTGTCAATATGACAACTGTGGATGTGAACTTTTTGTAAATTGTTACAAATTAGTTGGTAAATCTGGTACCAATTACCAGCAAATATAGGATTTCAAATATTCAAGTTTTCACCAATAATATAAGATTATTTATTAGTGATACTGGATATCAGGTTACTGGGACATTTACCCTATACCTGCTAACATTCTGTTAATCAGAAAGTTCAAACTCAATATTTGACCTTGAATTTTTTTTCTGAAACAGACTGAAAAAGAACTTGTTTGTTAGTCAAATGACAGCTTTACTGCTCTAGAGCAACAAAGTAGCAAAATTGCTCACTACTGGTTGCAGTCAAACTCAGGATGGAATGCTTCCATGTTGCCAAAATACAAGATGTTATCACAAAATATGTTACAATAATGTGTATTTATGGATTCTAATCAATTTTACAACTATTTATGTTAGAAAAGGTATTACACAATGGTTGTAAAAAAAATGTATGTGCAATTAGACGGCAATTTAACTATTTGCGCCATTCCATGTCCCTAGCTTTGGACAATTTTTCAAAAAACAACAAATGTGATTGCACCCTATAATAAAAATGATTGTAACTATAAATTTTGTTGGTGACGCCCATGTTCTTCAATTCAATCAATTTCAAATACCTAGTCGAATCGGGTCACAGAAGATAAGAATCTCATCACTTGTATGCCTTCTTCAATTTTAATGTTTTTTTTGCATGTCATAAACTAAAAAATAATATGACTCGGTTAAACAACACGAATATGCAGTAGAATAATGTCATTTTATCAAATTCCGACCAAAATATCAAAGCACGTGTATAGATTTATGTATTCTCGGAACAAACAAAACATAGGCAACAAGGCTAGGTTGCCCTTGAAAAATATTTTGGGATTCCATTATTACACATTCAATCTGCATGATTTTTTTCTATACAACAGTACAGTCAAAAATAAACTTTTATAGTCGTACATTAGCGATATTATAATGCTGGAATGTAAAGGTGGCGAGAGACAAGTCAATTCAATCATGGAATCGATACTCGACCTGCGACGGCGTGCTAAATGTAAACAAACAAACAATCGCTGACTGGGCAAACATCTTTTAATAATCGTTTGCAATACTTGATTTACCAATTATGCATACTTACGATTACAATACTGTATGGAGTCCTCGAAATAAATTGGAATCACTTTGATATTTCACTTGAATGTATAAATATACCCACAATTCCACAACAAGATGGATGTTTTGGTTATTCAACCATGCTACTTTATGTCCACTGCAACATGACTCAACAAAAACAAATGCCCGCGGATGTAAACAAAGCACACTACTTGTATGTGTGAATTCTACCACTCGAATAGGCAGAACAAGAAAAAATCAACAACAAACTGAGCAAATCCCCGTGGATAGCAGATCTGTATGGGTTTTAAGCACTGTCAAACGCTAATAAAATAAAAGGCACTCAAATGACATTAAACGTGGTCGATAAAAATATAGGCACGCGAAACCAAAATAATCACATCACTTCTGCGGATAGTGGGATACTTTTGTTCCAGAGTGGTGGCTGACGTATGAAAACATTTGAGTAACGTCAGATTATCATCGTCCTTCACTTCGCACAAACATTGGCACGTGATGCGGTGTTGTCAGATGCTCGCATTGCGAAAACCCGAGATAGAAATGATTAATGGGTCTTTTATAATTTCATCAGAAAATTTTTTCAAATAACTGCGAGGTAACTGCAATTTTATTCAATACTTTGAACACTTCGATAAGGTATTTTGAATAGTCTGCAGTATACAGGGTAAATGACATTATTTTCTACGTCACTAAAAAAGTTTTCAGACATCTTATGCATTTTTGGAGAATCCGTATTTAAAACTCTATTGTTCGACTTAGCTGAGACTGAGATTACCGAAGCTTAAACCTAAACATTGTATGTAGTGTATTGGCAGACTAGGTATGAAATCCTATGTCACGATACGCTATTTGGACAATGTTCATATATGTTTTCCTTATTCAGTCCCATCAGTCAGTATATGAATAATATAATTATAAAGCTATTCGGTTGTTAGTTGTTACGATTTTCATTTATGGATACACTTGGTATTCCGTCGGGGACCGTCGGTACCGGCTCGTGTCTGATCGCGGTCGCCCGAGTGCGTGGGGCGCTGCCACTATTATGTCGGCTTGTTACCATTTTTTGATTTGGATACTCACTTCTCACTCGTTAGTAGCCGTTTTGGTTACCGGCTGTAGTGTGCTTGAAATTTATCATGGATGAGTGTCGCTGCGTAATCGATAAACTACTTGAAAAGTCATTCTCCTTGTATAATTTTTAAGAAAAAAAGGAGATCATTGAAAATGAACGACCAACACCTATTTTACATAATTTTAAAAAGGAATGAAAAACGTAGTTTGATATTTTAAATTAAGTTATGGAAGCTCTTGGTTATGTGGTTGCAAAAAACAGATTGTATTGTTGGTGATGTCTTCTGTTTTATACAGAAAAAAATGAGTGGACCAGCAGCGGAGTCAACGATTTAAATAGTTTTAAGGCTCTAAAGAGGAGACATGAGATTTATCCGTTACATGTGAGATGTGTAGCCAATTTAATTCAGTTTGGCAAAACAAGAATCGTCTTTTAACCAAGCTTTTAGGCAGCACACTTCTAGATACCGTATGTTTTTTGGCAAAGCAGAAATTACCGTTCATTTTGGACGACTCTGACAATAGAGGAAATTACAGGGAATTGTTAACATTCATTGCCAAAAAAGATCAAAAATTTTCCGAACATCTAGAAACGTCGACTGTTTTTTAGGACTGCTTGGATTAGTCATAGCATAAGACGATGAGGTGCCCCAGACGCTCAGTCCAGGAATGTTTACCTTAATTTAAAAACAGTTCAAATAAAATACCTAAAATAAGCAAAAACTTATACTTGGGAGTTTCAAAATAAACTTTTTTTAATAAAATTTTTCACATCTGGTTTTGGTAACAGTTTAGGAAAAGTCACGCGTCGCCACTGGGTGGCAGTATCAAGTTTCAGAATGTTGTACGGCTTCAGGGGGCTACGTCTCACGATTTAGGTCCTGCAAGGTAGTTTTTACACAAAGATAGAGAAATATATACCATTTTCTTGAAAAATTGGCACATCTCGGCTTCTAAGCAGAATGCGCCTCCCTTGCCCCTTCCACATCCGCACTTGATGACGTCATATACACAATTTGTTAAAGCTATTGTTACAACTTTTGCGAAAAGTTTTACGTTACAAATTTGAAATACAAATTATGCCACTTCTCGGTCACAGAAAGTGGAAAATTTCTGAATATACCTGTTGGATGCAATAAAAAATACCTCATGATGAAAACTTGTAAAAGGCCCATTATTCTCAAGATTCCACTAAACTAAAATAAATTCTGGAACACGGCAACAGCGCATCGTCACCTACTATCAGAGAATGGAGCAGAAAAGGATAGCGAATTCTAAAACCAGGGAAGTAGAATGGGTGGGAAAGTTGTTTTCTCGTTTAATAAATTCTTACTGAGGTTGATCACCCTTGCAAAACGAAAACAAAAACAAGTAGGAGGTACTTGTTAAATTGATATTTTCTCGCTAGGCATTCACCTCTGGATGAAACCAATTTTCTAATCTGATTCGAGTTTTGACGATGATAGGTACACACAACATCACTAAAAATAGGCACCTCAGCATATTTTGTCTTTTATTGGTCATTGTGGAAGACCAAGGTCAAGGACCATTAAGTATATAAAAAATAGGCTGTAGACACCGTGTAAATCTTTCATGTATAATTTGATACCTTTTGATAGTATCCAGACGAATTATAGGTATTCAAAGAAAAATAATTGGAATAAAATGGAATTCTAATATGTACTTTGGAAAACTGAAAAGGATGTAGGCACCTAGACACATTGCAGGTAATGTGTATGGTTCAGAACTATGACCATCAGAATTCCGACAAGTAATGCTCAAGCAAAAATGGGAGTTGTGATGTGATGATGCAAGAATATTATCGCCTTATGCGACATCTACCAACTGTATTGCAACTTATTACTGCTTAGAATCAAGATTAGGGATTTTTGAAGGTGGAGTACTTGCATCGTGTTTGCAACACTGACTTACCTTGTATTTATAGATGGCGCCCTAAAATCAGCATCATCGACGTGATCTTCCAGTTGAACACTGAGATCGATTTAATCTAAGTTCAACAAGAAACCTTAGAATTTAAAATTTACAGCATCACAGATTCAGTAGCTTTAGCATTCCAGTGCCAACGCAACGTGTTTGTATTAATAATAATATGATAATTTACATGGAAAACGTGTTTTATATAACATTTGAATTTGGCGGTAGTAGAAGCGCCACCTGGAAATTTTATTTGACAACACGTTCGATAGCGTTTCCGAAGATCACCGCCAGTTTGTTGGCTTGTGAATAAGATGGAGCTATAATATTTTCATATTAGAAAAAAGGTCAGTAATTTGAAATTCCTACAGTATTTAGGGTCCCGCTTATTGTGTATTTTCTAAATTTAGGAACATAAATTACGTATTTTCCCTTTTCTACAGAAAAATTACCCATGCCTGGTCTACCGACGCCGCAAATATGCCGTTGTCTTTTTTGTTCTATAATCTTGCAACTACAAAACATTTTGCACTATACTTTCAGAATTATCTATTCAAGTGGTCAAAGTTATGATGAATTATGATATTGAGATGTTTAAAGAAACTGAATGTTATCTGAACAATCCAAGACTCTCCCACTTTATAGGTTAATAATCGGTTGAAAAATGGGTGAAGGAATAAAACAAGTGAGAGTAGACAACTGGGGGATTTACTTCCTCCAGCGTCTTCAGATGTTCTTCAGCAGGACAGACTACTGCGATTTAACCCTTCAGTTCGAAGGAAATGTCCAGCTCAAGGTACATAGATTAGTGATGAATGCTTGCACAGAATACTTTGCATTCTTGGAGCAAACATGCCCAATTGTGGAAGACAACACCATAGTGATGCCTGAAGACCTCCAGTCAGACGTTATTGTACCCATTGTCAACTTTATGTACACAGGTATGCATATTTTGAATGTTGATAAATCAATAAAAATATTGACAGTTGTTTTGCTGCAGTGATCAATATTGATATCAAAGTGAAATAACAATGTTGATCTTGCCTTAAAAATCTATATTTTGAGTAATAATAATGCAATATTATTGATACTATTTATGACTGATATCAAAAGTAGCATGATTGTGGACATAGATGTATAATAATAATAATGTCATCTATACAGGGTGTTTCAGACAAATGTGGCAATATTTTTAGAATAGGAAGTACATCCAAAAATTACAAAAGTTCTTTGAAACGTACATCTTAAAATTGCCAAGTACCTAGATATAGGGTTCAAGTAACACTACGTTCAATTTTCAATGCGAGACTTCATTAACTTCAGTGCATATTTTCAAATGAAGGGGTTGAAGATTTTTGGATGGATTTTACTTCAAACATCCAAGCCAAATATGCAAATTTTAATTGTATGATGAGCCTGTTTGACTAACTTGATCCAATAATATTTCTTGTTATAGATGACAGTATTGCATAGGAAGTGCATAGTCAACCTACTCAATGTCATTTTTTTTCTGTAGAGGTCAAATTTTCCTAATTTCTATGCCACAGTTATAGCCTTGGGCACAAACAGTTTTATCCAGTGTGAAGATATAATTTATTTTCTTTTTTGAAATTATAATTCCACCACCTGTAAGGGGGCATTGTAGTGTGCACTTTTATATGAAGTTACCTGTTGTTTTATTTTATTTTATCCCACAGAAATATTATATATTACACTGAAAACCAAATTTGTCTGATGGCTTGAGGTCAATGTGTATAACAGAGAAGTGTGTATAGATCCTTATGTTAAAAAGAGATAGAAGCCTGCTGGATAGCGGAGCTCATCAACGCATTGCTTAGCTTTGCCAATATGTTACACCAATTCCTTGAGTTAAGTTGCATGTTGAAAATATGCTGTGTTAGTATATTCTCTACCCAAAATGATGGTTTTATTTTGAGCATACGCATTTTTGAATTGTGAATTGTGTCGAATCTGTCCAGGATCGTTTCTGACGGCGCTCCATTTTAGATCAATATGAAAAGCGAGGATCGCCACAAATTCTGCAACATTGCATTATTGGTTCGCTTGGCGACAACGCATTTCGTACATTCCAGGCAAGGTTTCCACCTCCATTATCGTAGATGAGCGATTTTGGCCAGTACCCATCTAGCTTTAATTGGGGAGTAGTGCCATCCTGCGGATCGGAATGGTTTTCACCTGCGTACACGCAGACAATGATAATTTGTATTGCGTCAATGGTATTTGTTACATTTTCCGACCGCTTGCTGTCGCAAAATCAAAGATAATTCTGAAATAAATTAAAACAAAGTCCGCGTCAACATTGAAATGAATAATTCTAATCAAAACGAAAACAAAATTTAAATGAAATGTTCGAACAGGCCTGCTCTTTGGGTTTGACAATAACCGAACCTATTGTAGAAGCCTTGCGAACATTTTCTGCTGTAACGTACTGGCGACGCGGCAGATTGCTCGACCTTCAGCGTCGCCGTCGCTAGGCAATTTGCTCTTCAGCCGGCTTCTATCTCTTTCTAACATGTGTTAGACACTTCTCGCGCATCTCTTTCGTACACATTGAACTCAAGTCGTCAAATTTAGTTTTTTCTGTACATAGTCATGCCATAAGTTCTGTCCCTCGTTTTCAAACAAGTGTAGACCTGTTAATACTTGTCCGATTGTTTACATTGTGGTGTCAGTTGATTAAGCGCTTTTCGGGTAATTACATATACCTCAGTTTGTATTGATCTCTCGAAGCATAACGATGGAGTGGGGCAAGGCAGAGAACCGTATTGCAGTGATAGCTTTACATAAGTGTAATCACAGTGCTAGTCAGATTTTTGAACTCTTACGCAGCCTTCAAATATCGCGTAAATTTGTGTCTAGGACCATTCAGCGGTACAATGAGACGTCCTCTGTTGATGACAGGCCAAGAAGCGGAAGACCTCGTCAAGTAAGGACTCCAGCAGCCATCAAAGCCGTAAAAGCCAGGATTCAAAGGAATCCACTCCGGAAGCAGAAGATCCTATCCAGGGAAATGAAGATTCCTGTCCGGACGATGTCGCGCATCATTAAACAAGACCTAGGGCTAGGGGCTTACCGGAGACGTACGGGCCAGCGACTTACGGCCACCTTGCGACACATCAGGGCGACAAGATCCAAGAAGCTCTTGGAGAGGTACGCAGCTGGGGGATTCCGAAAGATTTTGTTCACGGATGAGAAAATCTTCACCATAGAAGAAAAATTCAACCGACAAAATGACAAAGTGTATGCAAGGAGTTCACAGGAAGCTTCGGAGATCATTCCGAGAGTTGAGAGAGGCCACCACCCTGCGTCAGTCATGGTTTGGTGGGGGGTGTCCTACGAAGGGGTCACTCAGCTCCATTTCTGTAAACAGGGCGTGAAAACAAAAGCGGCAAACTATCAGAGCGACATACTGGATCCTATCGTCAAGCCTTTAAGTGGTACATTGTTTGCCAACCAACACTGGGTCTACCAGCAGGATTCCGCCCCCGCTCACAAGGCTAAGAGTACGCAGCGCTGGCTGGAAAGCAATGTGCCAGAGTTCATTGCTGCGGAAGATTGGCCCTCAGGGAGTCCGGACCTCAATCCTTTAGACTACAAGTTGTGGGACCTGCTAGAGCAGTTGGCCTGCTCCAAAGCCCACCGTAATATCGAGTCCCTGAAAGCGGATTTGATCCGATCAGCGGCAGCTATTCCTTTGGAAGCTGTGCGTGCAGTGATAGATGAGTGGCCCGCGAGATTGAAGCAGTGTGTGAAGGCCAAGGGGGGACATTTTGAATAAAACTGTTTGATTATGAATTCTAAAAATGTTGTCGAATAAATAATATCTTTCATATAAATATATCTTATCTTGTTTCATTTTTATCATGAGATTATCATGGGACAGAACTTATGGCACGACTATGTATATTTCCTCAGAGCTTGGAACTTTATCTTACACAAAAAAATGAGCTCTTCCTTTATGGAGATGGAATGTGGCACAGATCCTGAATTCTGAATTTGTTTCCAGAATCCTCAACTATAGAGTATTATTCAGTACCTTCATTACCTCAAATTATTCAAGTAAACCAAGTTCCAGCCTCTTGTAACAAAAGGTGATCCAAATGAAAATATTCCCTGCAGGGTTTTATAAAATTTTGAGCTTTATCACAGGAATATTAGAAAAACCCTTCATATGTGTCATCTGAACACAAAATCTTTTCCTAGGTGAATTGGATGTATAAAGCTTATGGATATCAAGACTCCAGGGTGCCCAAGCAACCACGTTTACCTCAATATTTTAGTCTAATCATATTAAAAAATTTCTCCAAAATAATTGTAAACTCTGGTTTTATTGATGCAAGTTGTTCCAAGGGGGTATTTAAAATATGGATGCATAAAATGGGTACAAGAATTTTTGTGGGAAACTTTTTATTTGAGAACAAAATATGAGAAACGTGTTTTTTTCGGATTCAATCGAAAGTGTTGGCAGGAACGAAAAAACTTTTCATATAAGATTTTTGGGTATTTATGAGCCCTTCAAAATGAAACCTCACGTAAAAAGATCCGACTAATAGCAAAAACGTTATGGCCGAAAAACGAGGCATAATGCAGGTTTTGGCACTTGGAAGTGCGACGATAGTTTCACACAACTACTTGAAATTCTTCAAATCTGTCGGATTCATACTTCTAAATAACAATAACAAAATTGAAGTATATTGGTCAAGTAGTTTTTTGAGAATTTTCAATTGTTTATCCCAAAACACCTGTTTTCCGGCCATCACTACTAGTTTATTGAGAAATATACAGGGTTCATCTAAAAAGCATTTAATTGCAAAATACACGTGTTTACCTTGCCGATATGAATCGCAAACCATTCTGAAAGGTAAATGTTATTTTTATGCGAAAAACAAAGGTTACGTTTTTTCTTCTAAACAAATTCAAACATTTCGTATTTGTAATTGAACAAATGCGCTACGATATTCGAAAAACATACGTTACACATTTTAAAACAAAGCGGATGTGTCTACCATCTTTTGCGAATTACTGACAAATACGAAATGTTTGAATTTGTTTAGAAGAAAAACGTAACCCATACTTTTATGCATAAAAATAGCATTTATCTTTCGGAATGGTTCATGATTCATATCGGCAAGGTAAACTAGTGTATGTTGCCATAAGTATAAGTAACAGGTGTTTTGGGATAAACAATTAGAAATTCTCAAAAACTATTTGACGAATCTACGCCAATTTTGAGGTGGTTATTTAGAAGTACGAGTCCTACGAATTTGAAGAACTTCAAATATCCGCGAGAAACCAGCGTCGCATTACCTGCAGTTTGCCTCTGTTTTCGGCCATAACTTTTTTGCTATTAGTCGGATCTTTTTACGTGTGATCTCATAAATACCTAAAAATCTTAAGTGGAGAGTTTTTTCGTTCCTGCCACCACTTTCGATGGATCCTAAAAAACACGTTTTCTTATTCTTTGTTGTCGAATAAAAAGTTTTCCCAGAAAAATTGGTGCACCTATTTTATGCGTCCATGTTTTGAATACCCCCTTGAACAACTTGCAGCAATAAAACCAGACTTTACAGTTATTTCACAAACTAGGTGTATTTTCATCTAATATGATTAGACTATTTGTCCCATAACAGCTCAGATGCTTCATTTTTGAATTTAGCACCCTAAATTACAATCAACATTCATTCACTTGTAACAAGGATGCCAAATATGGATTTTCTTTACTAAAAGGCTTGAGGTTTTCTATGAGATGTTTAAAAACCCCTCCACTTTATTCTCGATATATACCATTCAACCAGGGCTGGCTTCAGAGTTTTGTGCGCCCTGAGACAAAGGATGAAATATGCGCCCTCGCTCCACATTAAAGCAAGCTTTCAAACATATGAGTTTGACACTAGAACACAGTGGATCACAGTGAGGCTTTGCAATTTTTTAACAGTCATATTCGCTCCAATTTACCTCTGTGTACCATGTTCTATTTGCTTGTAATTACAAGAGATGGAAATGGAATTTTTTCCAATAAAGGTTTTTGTAATTCTCTAGCTTAGCTACACCAGCTGTTTTTGAAGAAGAAATGATTTCAGAAACCGGTTTTTGGGTGTAGAACATAGAAATGAGACCAAAAATTAGCGTAAATATGAAAGCTCTGGAATATTTTAGGGAGGAGTCGGGTTTTATCGAATTTTGTCAGAAGGTGCTACTAGTCGGCTGACTAGATCTCAATTGTCGGACAGCATTTGTTTGGCAATTTTTACACAGAACTGTATTTGAAAATTTGTGATAGTAGAATAGAAATTTCAAACCAATTTTCATTAAGACTTTGAGGAAAAGGAATCAAGCACGTTCATACTGAATCCATGTAATATATATATAATTGTTAATTGGGAAATTGACAAACTTTTTATTCTTCAATTAACTCTTTTGACGGTAATCTCCAGCTTTTGGCAATTCTCTATGGAGCCTTCATCAGGAGTTGTCGTTGAGGTTGAAGCCAAATGGGCTTATTGATAACGACGGATACCATTGTTAAGTGTTAACACTCCAAATCAATACACCCGAAACATATTGAAAAAAAATGTTTTTAACGAGAAGCAATTTTATATTTAGAGAATTGCCGAAAGCTAGAGATTACCGTCAAAAGAGTTAACTAAAGCCACTAAATATATGAAATTTATTTTTTTCTTGGTAGCCATTCCCAAATGAAGTGTAAATGTGCAATTTTATTTCAGTCTCGTGAAAACATGGCTGGAAAATGGAAGACAGAAATGTTTAGACAGGAAAATATAGATTGATACATACTTATTATTATACACATTTTGCGAGCCTCTGTACACTTCTGTCAGCATTGTCAATCATAGGACAACAAATACGGTCCTAAAGTAGCACTTTAGATGTTTTATCGTAGTATTTTATAGTCAAAACAATATTATTTATCAATTCAAAGTAATTAAAAAAACTGCAAATTTCGAGATCATCCGCACCTCAATCCTTTCTTAAGGCCCCACAATGTTTCAACAGTGTTTTAAATTTTCCTCCTAGTAATAAAAATTCGATATTTCACTATATTATAATAGGTTTTCGTTAAATGTTTTCATAGGTTGCCAGATTTATTACTTCATAGGTTTTCATGTTGATGGATATTTTTAATAATTGAATTTATATGTATAACATCAATACAAAATGTCAGATAATCTAGAGGCGCGCTCATGCTCGTCGCGAATGAAAGAGGAAGAAATTGTAGAGTAAAAGGAGAGTTGCTACACGTAGAAATGCGTATTTTCGTTAATTTTCTTATATTTTTTTCAATATTTCAACGTCACAGTATGTATAGGATTCCGTCCTATTCTGCAAATGTCATTATTCAGGTGTTTATACCTTTTCAAACCTATCAACAATACTCTGCAGCTAACCCATTTGCATTTGCATTTTTAATTTCATTTCCATCATTTACAATCCAAACCTACCTAGTGTCTATTTGGATGGAAAAACAAAAAACACTTGTGTAGCTATGCTAGAGAATTACCAAGGTTTTTTATAAGTTCTTTAAAAACTAGCATTACTATATCCTTTATAAAATACATCTCTGGATGTATAGATTTCAAAACGAACTTTGATCTGATACTGGGGGGTTTCAGAGGGTCTCAACCCATTTTCTACCTTCGATTTCGCTCCACTCCACAATTTTTCTCTTCAGATTTTATATTCAGTGTTTGGCTAATATGAAAGAGGCACACCAAATATAAACCCATTCACGAATCCACATTTTGATACTAACACGAATTAAGCAATTGACACTATTTTCTTATATTAGGTATGCTGGAATTCCATATGTCACTGTTTGACAAAATCTACAGAGCCGCTGAGCTGATGGACATGCCTATACTGATAAAAGTCCTAGAAGCCCAGAGACATCCATTTTCTACAGCAATGACAGATAAAAAGAAAAAGGAGCCATCTCTGAACACATGGGCTCCAAAGAAGACCCCACCAAAACCGGAACTACCCTCGCCTATTCTACCAAAAAAATCTTTCTATAAACGCGGCAAGCAAAATGCCCCTTCTACATCAACAAACGAAAGGAGCTGGTTACCGGATCCATTGGCATTAACTGAGCCACCATTGAGATATTTGGACAATGCCCCAAAACCAACCAGGTTTGAGTGGCCAGAGGATGTGCCTATGATGATGGACACTAGCTTCTCTGATATATCTTTGACCAGTCAGCCATTGTTGACCAAAGAAGATGAAAACAGGGTGATAGTTGCAAGTAGCAAGACAAAGACAGCCTCTAAGGAAGATGCAGAAAGTACTGAAAATGCTAACAGTACTGAAGGTAAAAATAAATTGTAGAAATAGCATTACAACTATAATAAATAATTTTTCAAGTTCTATTGTCTCACTTCATTTAGCAAAGGTGACATATGAAGTTGAATATTGAGTTGTTTTTAATATTTGAATGGAGATTTTGTTACATATTAACATCCACATCAAAAACGGAAAAAACAGAATTATTTACCCTTGTTATAAATTTTAATTGGAAACATTCAAACATTCTCATGCATATATGTAACAAAAACATTGTACAGTCGGGAGGAGTAATTATTTCGCGAGGTCATCCCCAGTTTAGGGACAATTAAAGCAACTGGCAACACCGCTCTGCTGTAGCTTTAAATTACTTCTAAAGTACGTAACTATAAATGCGTTTCTGCGGCAGGTGCCATCTAGGTGTCAGTAGCATGACGCGCCTAATTTACAATTAGTATCAGCGAGCAGTTATGTTTAGTAAGGGAACTGATTTGGAACCACTACTACTATAATCACTGTTTGCAATTTAAACATAGGTTTTTGGGTTATCAACAAGTTGTCAGAAACATATAGTTTCTGATCTATTCACCTTTATGGTAAACTTATGTATTTTATGGAATATACCTTAAGAGCAGTAATAACAATTCCATTATCAAATAGTGCATAAAGCAAAAAATATGTATACTCGTCAGCAATGATGATTGCACAACATTCCCATTTTTGAGAAAATTGTAAGAACTGGCAACAGCGCAAATGGCTTTTAAAGGTGCCGTTTTTAGTTTTGGCTAAAATATAGACAAACTCGCTTAATTGTTGCTCTCGCTTGTACTTTTCACTTTATTGTATGAGCGCCATCTAGTGGACAGTATCATAACTACATATATTTCACATTTGGTACCTGTTGCTACCTAACAGATGGCAGTAAGTAAAGTTTGCTCCTACTGAATAGGTGGCGTTGCAGTATTCTTATTGTTTCGGTCACCTGTTGGTCGGTAGCTGAAAGTTTTATACACCAGAAACTTAAAATAAGTCAATTTTCTATAACTTTTTCTACCACCTATATTTTTAATAGGGTATCTGCTTTGGTATTACAACCAAATCAGTGCAGTTAGAGATACATATTTCTTTTTTGTATATTTAGTGAAAATGACGTGAAAAAATAAATATATACAAATTGTATATTTCCCAATAATTGTCGAAATATGGAATAATTTTTTTGATTAGTTAATTGAAATCTAGATTTTGTTGGTCCAGTTTTCATCCCCCTTCCTACTGAACTCGTACAGAGTGTTTTCTCATCAAAATTATGTACCGAAACATAAAAAGAAGAAAACGATCACTCTCCCAATTTTTTTTGGAAAAGAATTACGTCATAATATCTGGGGCGTATAGAACAAATAATGTTGCTTGGATTCTAATCATTTAAGTTAGTTTATAAAATCATATACTTTGAAAAGTATAGAAAATTGATCTGAAAATAAGCCCGCTGCATAAAAATGCAAGTTTCATTAAAAACGAGTGGGGCGCCAAGTTGCTGCTTTTTCAAAACATATTTAACCTTTATATACTAAGTGACATATAAATCCGAACACCCAGTTTAAATGGTTTTATTTTAATAAAAGTTGGTGAATGTATTTATCTTACTGTAAATAACAAGTGAAAAAATTTTCAGCCTTATCAGTTGGACATTCCGGTTTTTATACTGCTTTTTTTTTAACTAACGCTCTAAAAATGAATATTTCAGCCGCAGTAAAGAATCAACGTTGGCGGATTTTGGTTCTTGACATCCTTTACGATCGGTTACGATGCCTAGAGTACGGAGACCTGTACGATTTCGTCAACTTAGTGAGTTTGATGGGGGCCGTATAGTGGGACTTCGGGAAGCTGGACTTTCTTTTCGGGCAATTGGAGTCAGAGTGCAAAGAAGTGTAGACAACACTGTGGTTAGGTGTTGTCAGGCATGGCTTCGAGAAGGCCGTACGCAAAGAGCAAGCGGCACTGGATGCCGCCGTAGAACAACAGACCGTGAAGATCGCCGCCTAAGATTATTGGCCTTAAGGGACCGTTTCTCCACTACCAGGTCCATTGCAAATGAATGGTTTGCAGAACACGGAAGACCTATTGGCATGCGAAGTGTTTACCGACGAATGAGAAGTTTTGGCTTGTTTTCATACCGGCCACACTGGGTCCTCCCTTTAACTCGAGAACACCGACGTAATCGCCTTGAGTGGTGCAGACAACGGTCACTCTGGGATCAGGAATGGAACAGTATTGTCTTTAGTGACGAGTCTCGATTTTGTTTAGGCATGCACGATGGTCGTGCCAGGGTTAGAAGGCGACGTGGTGAAAGGGGGAATCCACAGTTTTTTGTTTAAAGACATGTTCATCACACTGTTGGAGTTATGGTTTGGGGTACTATAGCTTATGGTTCCAGGTCACCTTTAATCTTCATCAGAGGTAACATGAACGCGCAGCGTTATATCCACGAAGTTCTAGAACCCCATCTTTTACCCCATCTTGACACCCTGGCAGATCCAACTTTCAAACAAGATAATGCCCGACCACATGTTGCAAGAGTCACAATAGACTTCTTTCAACATAATGATGTCACATTGTTACCATGGCCACCAAGATCTCCCGACTTATCCCCAATTGAGCACGTGTGGGATATCATGGGTAGGAGATTGCTCAATTAGCAACGTCCTCCTCAGACTCTAGAAGCACTTCGAGAGGAGTTGGTGGTTGCCTGGAATGAGATACCACAGGAGGACATTGACCACCTGATCAGAAGCATGCCTAGGCGCGTTGGAGAATGCGTAGCACATCAGGGTGCATCCACACATTATTAAAGGTCAAAGGGCTTTAAAGCAGTGCAATCATTGTGATATTTTGATCATTTACTTATTATGCTTCATTAAGTACTTATACAAAATTTTATTAAAATAAAACCATTTAAACTGGGTGTTCGGATTTATATGTCACTTAGTATATAATTTACCAAACACTTAAATTATTAACGTAGTTGTTTTTTGCTGCGTCAATTCTGCGTTTAGATCCTCAAAAAATGTATATATCAGTATATATCATTCATGAGAACCTGGTTTATATGTACGAACATAAAACGTAATTATTTTGCTTGTATCAATTCACCCTCGACTAGCTATTATTTTTTTCCAGAAGAGAAATCACCTGAAGTAGTCCATAAAAGAAAAACAGATCAGCCTGCTGCGAAGCCGTCACCGAAACGGGCGAAAGTTAGTGATAAGGAAAACAAAGAAACGACCATAAACATCAAGAGTAACAACATAGGCGACTTGGATCACACAAAAATTGTATCGGAAATATTGAAAAAATATCCGGATCTCGTAAAGAAAAACAAAAATATACGACTCAAAATTATGTCTCCAACCGCTAAAAGTTCAGATAAATCTACTGTGGTGAAGACGGCCAATATCAAAATAACGGTAAGCAATATATATTTAAATGTTATATGCAGATACTATTTTTTCATTACTTCAAAGTAAATAAAGTAAGTCAATACTAGCGCGTTTTAACAGCGATTCGTTGTGACACTACTTGTATTTTTAGGGACAAATTCCAAAGCCAAAAACTCAAAACCCACCTCCGAAACCAAAACCTGTTCTCATAGACAAACCTGTTGCTAGTGATGGACCGTGGTATTGCAACAAGTGTGAAGAATCAGGAGAACCACAGGAGTTTGTTCTGTACTATCTATACCGTAAACATATGCAAGGTATTTGTCGGCTTTTTACTCATTTTTTGAAATAATCTTCACAAACATCATAGAGATTTAAAATGGCAACACTGGCCTCTATTTAACAATTCAAATATCGTCGGACTGCCACTGTTGTAATTGTCATTGATTTATATGATGCATGAGTTTTATACGAGCCCCTTCCCACTTCAGTTGGCCCACTTCAGAAATTTGTACCAAAATATGCCTTTATAAACTAAACATGACGAAACTATTTATTTCTAAAACAATTTATTTTCTCAAAAACAGTTTAGATACACTCTAGTCGTAAAAAATACATATTTGAAATCACTTAGACCTATAACTAATAGAACATCTGAACAAATAAACAATGTGCGAATAAATGCGCGAAGTTAACAAAGCAACAATTGAAAGATTACCATTGGGTAACATCACCTTTATTTTTTATTACGGCCGAAATTGTTTGGGGCATAGTGTTAACCAAATGTTGGCAAAAGCAGGATGTTGTCGTAGAACCTTTTTCATCTCGTGCTACAAAGTTTCAATAGGTGACAGATCTGGACTGCTAGAAACCCATTTCAAAAGTGGTACATTATTTTCTTCCAACCATTTTATAGCCTTTTTTGAGGTATGGCACGCTGCACCATCTTGCTGAAACACAAAATCTTGGCCGGATGTCAAACGTTCTTCCATCACTGGTAAAAGCGATTCTTCTAAAATTGCCAAATATTTGTTTGTATCCACATTTCCATCAATAAAATGAATTTTTACTACTCCTTTTGATGACATACTGCCCCAGACCATAATGGATGCTGGAAATTTCACTTTTCTCTTCAGACAGTCAACATGGAATGCTTCATTTTGTTTTGCGAATAACTCTACTGCGACTGTCACCAACACAAACTTCAAATCGGGCCTCATCACTCCATTGTATTGCACACCATTTTGGAGGTGTAAATTGTCGTATGTTCTTTAGCCCATCTAAGCCGATTTTTTTTTTGCAGTGGAGTTAATAGTGGCTTTTCTTTGGCCTATAAACGATTTGTGCAACTTTAGGGTTTTCACTTTTTTTTATAAGAAAACTTACCTTGCAAGTGCTAAATCCCAGTTTGTGGACCTCTCTATGAGTTGTGGACCTCGAAATTCTCCTTCCAACAGCGTCACTCCACAGAGCACTTAATTTTAAATAATTGGCACGCCTGTTTTTCACGATTATTCTTCTTAATGCTCTTCGGTCGGCATTTGTGATATTACGTTTTTTCACATATCGTGGCTTAATATTAACTGAACCAGTTACATCTTCTAACAATATTTCTCACACTGTAAAAATTGAATTATCAGTAACTGAATTTTCTCACTAATAACCTTTCCTCTACCCATTTTGAAAACCTTAACTACCCAAAACTATTTTAAACGTATTCTGACAGCTGTGATTAATAAAAACAATTGTCATGGCTTTTATTTTTCAGAGCCACCTATGCATTATAGACTTATTTTGCATTGAAATGAAAATAGGTTGATATGCTGTAATTGCAACATGTGTTATTTTTATGCTGCAAATTTGATTAGGGAGTGATAAAGTTGGTGTTTTCTACTATATATTATCAAAATATTCATTGTTAATATTTTAAACCTATAACACCCTGTTACATTTTTACTATACTAAGTGCCATATAAATCCGAACACCCAGTTTAAATGGTTTTATTTTAATAAAATTTTGTATAAGTACGTAATGAAACATAACAAGTAAATGATAAGAATTTCAAAATGATTGCACTGCTTTAAAGCCCTTTGAAATTAAATAATGTGTGGATGCACCCTGATGTGCTACGCATTCTCCAACGCGCCTAGGCATGCTTCTGATCAGGTGGTCAATGTCCTCCTGTGGTATCTCATTCCAGGCAACCACCAACTCCTCTCGAAGTGCCTCTAGAGTCTGAGGAGGACGTTGCAAATTGAGCAATCTCCTACCCATCATATCTCACACGTGCTCAATTGGGGAGATCTTGGTGGCCATGGTAACAATGTGACATCATTATGTTGAAAGAAGTCTATTGTGACTCTTGCAACATGTGGTCGGGCATTATCTTGTTGGAAAGTTGGATCTGCCAGGGTGTCAAGATAGGGTAAAAGATGGGGTTCTAGAACTTCGTGGATATAACGCTGCGCGTTCATGTTACCTCTGATGAAGATTGAAGGTGACCTGGAACCATAAGCTATAGCATCCCAAACCATAACTCCAACAGTGTGATGAACATGTCTTTCAACAAAAAACTGTGGATTCCTCCTTTCACCACGTCGCCTTCTAACCCTGGCACGACCATCGTGCATGCCTAAACAAAATCGAGACTCGTCACTAAAGACAATACTGTTCCATTCCTGATCCCAGAGTGACCGTTGTCTGCACCACTCAAGGCGATTACGTCGGTATTCTCGAGTTAAAGGAAGGACCCAGTGTGGCCGGTATGAAAACAAGCCAAAACTTCTCATTCGTCGGTAAACACTTCGCCATGCCAATAGGTCTTCCGTGTTCTGCAAACCATTCATTTGCAATGGACCTGGTAGTGGAGAAACGGTCCCTTAAGGCCAATAATCTTAGACGGCGATCTTTACGGTCTGTTGTTCTACGGCGGCGTCCAGTGCCCCTTGCTCTTTGCGTACCGCCTTCTCGAAGCCATGCCTGACAAAACCTAACCACAGTGTCTACACTTCTTTGCACTCTAACTGCAATTGCCCGAAAAGAAAGTCCAGCTTCCCGAAGTCCCACTATACGGCCTCTATCAAACTCACCAAGTTGACGAAATCGTACAGGTCTCCGTACTCTAGGCATCGTAACCGATCGTAAAGGATGTCAAGAACCAAAATCCGCCAACGTTGATTCTTTACTGAGGCTGAAATATTCATTTTTAGAGCGTTAGTGAATTAAAAAAAAGCAGTATAAAAACCGGAATGACCAACTGATAAGGCTGAACATTTTTTCACTTGTTATTTACAGTAAGATAAATACATTCACCAACTTTTATTAAAATAAAACCATTTAAACTGGGTGTTCGGATTTATATGTCACTTAGTATATTTGTGTTTGATAAGAAAAAGACTAAGATTTCAATAGTTGGGCCAACTGAAGTGGGAAGGGGCTCGTAGTATGACAGAATTTTAGCATCAGATTCTTCTAATTCATCTGTTCCCATAAATTACCAGTTTAGAGTAAAAAACTAAAGAGTTTTCTTCACAATCATTTGACATTTTGCTTATATTTTCCAGACGTCCACAATGTCGAATTTGATATAAGTTTATGTAAATTCTGTGGCAAGAAGTGCGTAAAGGAAAATGTCATGGCATACCATCTATACACGAAACATGGATACAAGACGTCTTCAAGCATCAGTTTTCCCAAGTGTGACTTATGTCCTTATGTTGGTATGTATTTCAAAAACACCTCTTGATTATATTTTTAAATACTTTATTATATTACTGCGCTATTTTGATGTTATATGCAGGAATTCAGAGCAGCAAGCCGATCTCTGCCGGTGAGCTGAAAAAAGGAAGACAAGCGGCGAGAGACCTGGAGGTTATCACTTCTTGGAGACGCAACAATTTTGTACAGTTTAATGCTTCCAAAAGGCAGCACTGTACCTTGACGAATAAAAAACGTCCTAGCGCTCATCCGGTTTCGATGGTTTACCGAGGACTGGTCAAAATAGACAGTCTCGGGGATTTGTTCCTCAGGGCTCTCCTCCATGATGCCGCCACACGTTGTGCATGCCATACAGACCTGCCTGACTTCGGCTCCCATCTTAAGCGTGTCGAACTTCGTACATGTAGAACTGGCCGATACGATCGTTCCTTTGTCCCGAGGGCAGCTTTTCAAAGTTCTGCTAACCTTAGGCTGTTCAAAAATTGAATTAACAAAATTTCTTTGGGATCCTTATAACAGCCGCGGTGTCCTACCATTTAGGCTTCTGCCTGCGAGGCTGCTTCGGTGTAAAAAAATAACAGGTTGTTTATTTTACTTTAACTTTAAAGCTAAGCCTGATATTACAGAATATTGTTAATTTTTTTCATGAAAAAAATGCGGTATTACTTGTGTTATGATTTCTTCAAATCGGTCACGAATTGAATAGGTTGGAAGTCATAGAATCACAGAATGATTTATGATCATAAAACCAGCAGAACTAGAATAAAAAGCTGCCTTGCCACATTGCATATATAACAAAAATCTTGACAATTTAACTAATTTACATTACTGCTTATTTGTTGAATTTATCATTGTGTTATAAAACTCATTTAAATTAAATTTCAACCAATATGTTTTAATAACTTGCAATGTTAACCTTACGAGATAGGCTTTCCTTATTCTCTTCGAACCCCTTCCCACTTCAGTTGGCCCACTTCAAGATTTGCCAAAATATGCCTTTATAAACTAAACATGATGAGACTATTTACTTCTAAAACAATTTATTTTCTCAAAAACATTTTAGATACACTCTAGTCGTAAAAAATACATATTTGAAATCACTTAGACCTATAACTAATAGAAGATCTGAACAAATAAACAATGTGCGAATAAATGCGCAAAGTTAACAAAGCAACAATTGAAAGATTACCATTGGGTAACATCACCTTCGGTGATTGTACGAGGAGGATGTTGTCGTAGAACCTTTTTCATCTCGTGCCACAAAGTTTCAATTGGTGACAGATCTGGACTGCTAGAAACCCATTTCAAAAGTGGTACATTATTTTCTTCCATCCATTTTATAGCCTGTTTTGAGGTATGGCACGCTGCACCATCTTGCTGAAACACCAAATCTTGGCCGGATGTCAAACATTCTTCCATCACTGGTAAAAGCGATTCTTCTAAAATTGCCAAATATTTGTTTGTATCCACATTTCCATCAATAAAATGAAGTTTTCCTACTCCTTTTGATGACATACTGCCCCAGTCCATAATGGATGCTGGAAATTTCACTTTTCTCTTCAGACAGTCAACATGGAATGCTTCATTTTTTTTGCGAATAACTCTACTGCGACTGTCACCAACACAAACTTCGAATTGGGCCTCATCACTCCATTGTATTGACCACCATTGTTGAGGTGTCCATTGTCTATGTTCATTAGCCCATCTAAGCCGATTTTTCTTTTGCAGTGGAGTTAATAGTGGGTTTTCTTTGGCCTATAAACAAGTTGTGCAACTTTAGGGTTTTTACTTCACTTTTTTTTATAAGAAAACTTACCTTGCAAGTGCTAAATCCCAGTTTGTGGGCCTCTCTATGAGTTGTGGACCTCGAAATTCTCCTTCCAACAGCGTCACTACACAGAGCACTTAATTGTAAATAATTGGCACGCCTGTTTTTCACGATTATTCTTCTTAATGCTCTTTGTGATGTTACTTTTTTTCACATATCGTGGCTTAATATTAACTGAACCAGTTACTTTATATCTTCTAAGAATATTTCTCACACTGTACCGCGATAAGTCTAACAAAGTTGCAATTTCTGACTTTTCTGAATTTTCTCACTAATAACCTTTCCTCTACCCATTTTGAAAACCTTAACTATCCAAAACTATTTTAAACGTATTCTGACAGCTGTGATTAATAAAAACAATTGTCATGGCTTTTATTTTTCACAGCCACCTATGCGTTAATGACTTATTTTGCATTGAAATGAAAATAGGTTGATATGCTGTAATTGCAACATGTGTTATTTTTATGCTGCAAATTTGATTAAGGAGTGATAAAGTTGGTGTTTTCTACTATATATTATCAAAATATTCATTGTTAATATTTTAAACCTATAACACCCTGCTACATTTTTATTATTTGTGTTTGATAAGAAAAAAAACTAAGATTTCAATAGTTGTGCCAACTGAAGTGGGAAGGGGCTCGTATAAATAACGGAGCTTCTTATTTCGATAATGAAGAATGAAGGATCATCTCGCTACTAAGCAAACTCAGAATAACGAAGATCATAACGAAGCAGCAAAATAAGAGCACTAAAAACTCTATGCTCTCTCGATTGCCAAATTCTCGCACTACTAAAGGGTGTCTCAATAAGAGCGCCGGATTTGATTTTCAAGAAAAACGTAATTTCTTTTCGATTAAAGCGAGTATTTATATTTCAACGTGAAGAGGGAATAGTTGCGATTAAACATGAAATAGGAGATCCGGTAAATGGCCGCCGAGAAACCTCTTAAAATTCTAGAAATAACGTTTTCGCACAACTGTGGCCATATCTCTTCTTTAAGGCGTTCAACCGTTTGAGGCTTGTTCGCATAGCTCCAGAGGAAGAAGTCCATTGGCGTTAGATCGCACGATCTTGGTGGCCAATTTTGATCGTCAAACCGATAGATGACACGATCTGGAAACTTGGTCCAGCTGCTTTTTCGAAGAAATACGGTCCAATCACTCAGCCACTCCATAATGCGCACCAAACGGTAACTCGCGGCGTACCCGTTCACTTGGAAATGTGTCTCATCAGAAAAAGTGATTTTCTTCTAGCAATCCGCATCAATTTGGTGGTGCTCCGGCGCCCAATCAACGAATTCACGGCTCTGCGCATGGTCCGTTGGCTTAAGTTCTTGCGTCAGTTGAACCTTGTACGCATGCAAGCACAGATCTTTTGTCAAAATTCTTTGCAGAGTGGGTCTGGTAAGGTTCAATTCTTGGCCACGATGCCGAATGGAAGTGCCTGGATTCTCGGCCACACTTTCCCGCACTTTCACAATAATTAAACGTTGCTCGTTTGAATTCTGCTCCATGACCGCTCTCATCAAGTAAACAATACCATTTGTAAAAAATCCGGCGGCTCTTGTTGAGACACCCTTTATTATTGCCCATCTGCAAATTGGGTAGGCAACTTTAAGCCAATATGAGCGCGAAAATTCAGCAGCCGAAAGGCCGCGACTGTTTTGACGTTGTGTAAACAAGATTTGAGTGAGGCATATTACAAGTTGTTAATTTTCATCTTTGATTTCAAGCAATTTCCATACCGAAACTCGCCAGTCATCACGCCTCTCACAAGCCTCAAGAACGACAGTGCCCTTGTTGCAAGTTGGCCTTCACTTCTAACCAATCATTAGCTTTGCACGTCCAATTAACTGCACACAGGGACAAACAGGTGCGGACAAGCTGCGAATGTCAATATTGCAACAAAAAGACGTATTCTTCTATCGGTAAGTACTTTTTTCTCTCAAATAAGTATTTTCAAAATAAGGTGCTTCATTACATCCTGCGCCAATTGGCGTCTAATCTTGAATGCTTTCGAAAATGAGGTATAACATTTTTCGGAGGCTACATCAATTGTACATCACGAAAAACCTTGTCACTATTTCCGTTGGTCTCTCTGTTGCTTTTTTTACTATAATCGAATTGTTTGTTAGTAGCTTAATTTTCATATTGATCTTATTCCAGATTAATTATACCCCATTCGTAGTTTATTTACGCCCAGACAAAACACAACATGCCCAAAGCCAAGATTGTACAGGTCCGTATTTTCCTCAATGGACTTGGAATAATCTAACAAAATAAATGATTATTTTTATAGAAAGAAGTGCACATACTTTTCACAATTCTTTATTCGCTGCAAGTACAGTAATACCCCGACTTACGCTACCCCGTTTTACGCGAATTCGGAGATACGCGGTTTTTCATTTTGATTGCCGCGCGCAGCGCGCATCGGCTCTCTCGCTCCGCGCGCGCATCGGCTCTCTCGCTCCGCGCGCGCATCGGCTCTCTCGCTCCGCGCGCGCATCGGCTCTCTCGCTCCGCCCACTCAGTGTTCAATTTGCATCAGGTTTAAACGTGTTTCGCGTGCAATTGTTTTACGTGCGCAGTGCGTTTTACTTATAATCTCTAATTATGTCGTCTAAAAGAACAAAAAATGAGTCATTTGAGCCTAACAAGAAAAGAAAAACACTGTCTTTGGAGTGTAAACTGAATATAATTAAAGACTTTGAAGCAAAAATGAAAATTTGTGAATTGGCGAAGAAATTTGACCTTCCGGAATCAACAGTCCGAACGGTTGTAAAAGGTAAAGAAAAAATTATGAACGCTGTGAAAGACTCTCAATCTTTGAATTCAAGTATCATCCGTAAGCGTCACGGTATTATCGCACAGATGGAAACATTGCTACAGTCATGGTGTGATAATCAAGTAAGAGTGAAAAATTGTCCTGTTGATCAAAATACAGTGTGCTTTCAAGCAAAGCAGATTTTTGAAAAACTAAAAGAAGAAGCTGGGGAGGCGGCTGAAAATGAAGTGTTTAAAGCTAGTAACGGCTGGTTCAGCCGATTTAAGAGTCGTTGTAATTGGCATAGCATCGCAGAGAGTGGAGAAGCGGCAAGCGCTGATAAAGAAGCTGCATCTCTCTATCCAGAAAAACTCAAAACAATGATAGATGAAGGTGGCTACACTAGCCAAACTATTTTCAACGTAGATGAAACAGGTCTTTTTTGGAAGAAAATGCCTAAAAGAACTTTTATTGCGCGTGAAGAGAAAACTTTTCCAGGTTTTAAAGCCGCCAAGGATCGATTAACAGTGATGGTTGGTGCGAATGCAGCTGGAGATTGTAAATTAAAACCTCTCTTAGTTTATCGCTCAGAAAATCCAAGGGCCTTAAAAAATAAATCCAAAGCTGGTTTGCCTGTCATTTGGAAGTCTAATGCGAAAGCTTGGGTGACAGCTTCTCTTTTTGAAGACTGGTTTGGCCATCATTTTTATTCCTGAAGTCGAACGTTACTGCCGATTAAAAGAAATCCCATTTAAAGTGATGCTACTAATTGACAATGCACCAGGTCATCCTCCCGCAACTCTAATTAATTTCGATCCACGTGTGGAAGTTGTATTTTTGCCACCAAACACTACCAGCTTGCTTCAACCAATGGACCAGGGAGTCATTAAAACATTTAAAGCTTACTACACAAGGCGGTCATTTGCACATCTACATGAAGCTATGAGACAAAACAATGAGCTTTCTGTTAAAGACTTTTGGAAGCAATTCAATGTTTTAGATGCTGTAAGAATTATTGGACAATCTTGGAATGAGGTTTCACAAAAAACTCTCAATGGTGTCTGGAAAAAACTGTGTCCATTTTTTTTCACCTCTGAAACTCAAGGAGAAACCATTTCAGATCCTGAACAAATCGATAGCATAATAGAAGAAGTGGTCGATATCGCCAAGCAATTAAATTTAGAGGTCGATAATGATGACGTTCAAGAATTGCTAGATTCACACAATCAAGAGCTAACAATTGACGAGGTTATAGAAATGCGTAAGTATGAGCAAGACATTGAACAAACTGATTCGCTAGACCCAGTTGAATCGGTAAATCAAATGACAATTGCAAACTTAACAGAAGGACTCAATTCAATTGAAAAGGGGTTACAAATTTTAGAAAAAATTGATTCTAATGAAGAACGCGTGTCTACTACAAAACGAGGGATAAAAAAATTACTGGTATGCTACGAGGAAATTTTACGTGAAAAGAAGAAAAATTTAACTCGTCAGGCAACATTGTTAGAATATATAAAGCCTTCGACATCAAAATAACTTCGGTTTAGCTTACTTTATTCATAACAATGTAATTTTTTTTATTATCCTACACTTTATTAAACATTTTTCTTCTAAATTATTGTTTTCTTTAAACTCTGGTCCCGATTAAACAAACTTTATATGTATTTATATGCAACATTGAACCCCGACTTACGCGAATTCGACTTACACGGCAACCGTTCGGACCCACCTATCGCGTAAGTCCGGGGTATTACTGTACTTGAATCATCGTCCGAATGGTTAATATTAATTGCATATTACAGGTTCAGTTTGATCAGTCGATCATCTTGTCCAGATCCCACATCTTTGTTTCGAGTGTCTCTTGAACGTGACGGATGCAATATTTCCAATGCCGTCACTCTGTTGACAGCTTCATAAAACAAATTTTTCACGTCAGAAAATTTAGATGTTCTGTTGTTTGAAGCCACATAGTTTTTTATATTTGCACAAATCATTTCAATGGGATTTAATTCGCAGTGATAAGGGGGTAGTCTTAAAAAACGGTCTTATTTTGGTTTTTAGTCATTTCTACAATAACATTAAGATTATATTTATACAGGGTGTGTCATCTATTACTTTTTTCTATTTGAAAAATCAACACGCTTTTTACGAGGTGAAATCGAATATTTTGATTGATGAATGCAGGTTGGTTTATGCCATTCATGTATGAAAAATATCATTAGTCATGTGACCACCGCGGCTTCGTTTACAGGCCAACATCCGAACATCAAAATTTTTAATGGCTTTTCCCAGAATAATCGGGTCTATGGCCGCAATTTCAGTCCGAATATTGCGCTTTAGGTCTTGAATTGTCCGGGGATCATTCGCATACACTTTTCCTTTCAAAAATCCCCAAAGAAAATAGTCAAGAGGTGTTAAATCGCACGATCTCGGGGGCCAACTGACATCTGAATTTCGTGAAATTATGCGGTCTTGAAATTTCGTGTGCAATAAGGCGATTGTTTGGCGAGATGTGTGAGCCGTTGCTCCGTCTTGATGAAACCAAAGATCGTCGGAACCAATACGATCCAATTGTGGCCACAAAAGTCTGTTAACATGCCGCGATAACGTTCCCCATTGACGGTAATGGCCTTTTCTTCGGCATCTTCAAAGAACGATGCCACCAGCCTGTAATCCACACCAAACAGTCACTTTTTCAGGATGGAGAGGTTGTTCCTGATATTGCTGTGGATTTTCAGCCCCCCAGAATCTGCAATTTTGCTTATTTACGTACCCATTGAGGTGAAAATGAGTCTCATCAGAAAAGAGCACTTTGGCCGAAAATCCGTCTTCTCTTTCCAGCATCCGATTAACAAAAACACGCCGCTGTTGTGTGGTCTGCCGGCTTCAATTCTTGTGTTACTTGGATTTTGTATGGATGCGGAGGTGTAAATCAATGTGTAAAATCCGGCGTAAAGTGGTCTCACTAATTCCCAATTGTTGCGAACGGTGCCTATACTCAAAATGAAGTTCTTTGAGTAAACTATAGAATGTGGGTCTTTTGAAAGTAGGTAAGTCTTCATCACTATTAATCTTCTGTAATACTTTGTCTATGGTGGTGCGTCTGATGGCATTCTGATCAAAGTTATCGACTGTATCCAATAGATTCGTGTAATGCAGCCTCTTGTGTGGTGGAGACAATTTTTTGCTGTTTTATATTCTTTAACAATGCTGAAGGAAGCATGGGAGTATGCTCTGTTTCATCTGCTGTGTCCGTAGACGACATGCTAACGTAAAAACACTCGCTATGTTTGCGTCGAATATGAACAGCAACTCCCGGCCATACCCCTAGCCTGGATTCTATCCTGTCGCATGCAGCACTTGTTCGTTGTTTTATGGCCAAATGACCAATAGCTATTGCGGCTGCCGCTTCGCCTCGCTGCATCTTTGTTGTGCCGGGGCGTAAATGAACTACGAATATGGTATAGTCATAGTTGTTTGTGGGATTTTCTATTGCAGATAGATATAAATTTGCTATTAAAACGTGTTTTTTAAACTATCATTTATTTGCTGAATTTTAGTCGCAAGACGACAACTTGTATCTTATACCAAAAGCTTCGATTTTTGGTATATTTTATAATTGACAAAAAATTTAAATTTACAACTACTAATCTTTTCAGATTTCGAAATTTCCAAATTGTTTTCAAAATTGTCAAATCATTTTCCAAATTTCTGAATTTTCCAATTATTTTCCAAATTTCAAAATTCAAATTCGAATTTTTTTCCAATATTGTATTATCAGCGGCTTTTGATCCGCCTGCAAATTCTTAAGTTAATCAGACTTCTTGAAATTGGTGAAATCTAGGATGAAAGCTTCCATACATACATACAGGTCAAGTTAATAAAAGCATGCTGATATAAAAAAATAATGGAAATTACATTTGGTATGTTACAAATCTATTCCAAATAGATTCTATCTCTCTTTCTCTCTCTCTATGACATGCTTTCGCCGATCAAAAATAGTTTATCTGGCGTAAGGTTTGGAAATAGAAGATAAATCTAATTGATAACAGAATTGCCTGGGAACTGCAAAGTCAGTCTACTTGACGCCAATTTTTGCATTGTCTGTATTGTGCAGTTATTCCAAATTTCTTCAGTAAGTAACTTAGTCGTGGGCTTTTAAACACCAATTTGTTATTTGGCATTTGGATGCAATGTGTTATCTATTTCAGGGCTGCTACTGCATCTCAAGTCTAATCATTTGAAAGAAGCAAAGAGAGACGGTATTGTGCTGAATTTAACAGATCTGGAACAAATGGAAAATCTCAATGATATTAACGATAGTGAAGAAGAGGAAGGAGAATATATCACACCTGATAATATTGATCAAAAGGATAAGGTAAGATTTTATACTCAGTTCATAATTTAATTTATAATGGGTGATTTTTTTGTTAGTATCTTTTTGATAACGCGTGAATCGTGTCTTGTGTCATTGTCAAATTTGTTCAGTTTGGTCTATAATTTAACCATGAATCGAACAACGCTTGCAAATTATTGAATTTTACTATCAAAATTCATACTCTGTTAAGAGAGTGCATTGAGCACTGCTTCCAATTTATTAGCAATTTGGTCGGCCTACTGAGGGAGCTATTCGGAAGCTTGTGACTAAATTTCGAATCCAGTTTACATTATTGCACATTAAACCACCAACACGCAGGCGTAGAGTGAGGACTGAAGAAAATATTGCGGCTGCATCCGCCAGTGTTAGTGATGACCGTGAAATGTCGATTCGCGCCGTTCGCAGCAATTGGGCCTCTGTTACTCCACTACGTGGAAAATTTTGCGACAGGATTTGGGTGTAAAACCTTATAAGATACAGCTGGTGCAAGAATTGAAGCCACACGGCCTCCCACAACGTTTCCAATTTGGTGAATGGGCGCTGGCAATGTTGGAGGAAGATCCACATTTTTATCGAAAAATTGTGTTCAGCAACGAAGCTCATTTCTGGTTGAATGGGTACGTTAACAAGCAAAATTGCCGCATCTGGAGTGAAGACCAGCCAGAAGCATTGCAAGAGCTACCAATGCATCCCAAAAAAATCACTGTTTGGTGTGGATTATGGGCCGGTGGCATCATCGGGCTGTACTTCTTCAAAGACGACAATGGCCGGAACATAACTGTGAATGGCGAGCGCTACCGTGAGTTCCAGCGTGAAAAGTTTTTCCACGCCCCAACCTTGGTCAGATGTGAGCAAGCCTAATCTCTCTATTTATTTGTTGCAAACAACTACCGGAGATACACATCACGTCATTTTATTCAATCCCACTTGAACGCTGCTCTGAATGTTTGACTTCGGGTTGTAGAAAAATGTTTTGTGTCTCTCTCTGGCCTTAATTTTACGCCACAGGTCAAAAAGCGTGTTTACACGACAGGCACATGAGTAACTAATATTCTTGACGTTGACAATTAGTTATTAATTGTAAGATCACGTTCTGTCGGTGTCTATGATAAACATCAAATCATATTGGGTGATTCATTCGGCGATGAATACAGTATCAGCGTAAGGATTTCAAATATTTGTCCTTCAACATAACGTATGTCCTGAAAGTTACGGCACAAAATGAATTGACTTTAATTTAACAAACACAAAATAATATCAATTTGGCATTTACTTATTTTGAAGTTTTCCCTTTAAGATGTCGTATAAATTAGAAATAAGAAAAAGTTTATCTACAAGTTGAAATCTGTCGAATATTCCACGCAGAACAATTTATCGAACAATAGCTGAGTTTGAGTAGGGAATACCATGTCTGAATCTCCCAAAAAGTAGAAGACCACGTGCATTTACTGCACAGAGGTGCAATCCATTTTTGCATTTGCGTATAGTTTTGTATTAAACAAACATTTTTTTAACGTAAACTGAAAAAACTGAAAATTTTAATATTGAATTAATATAAAGCTTTAATGAAGCTTAAGCACTCGTTCTTCTCAACAGGTGAAGATAATTTCCAACGTCAAAGTTCCTAGCCAGCCCCAGGATCACAAGCAACAAATCGCGCATGTAGTCCCACCTTTAGAGCCCAGTTCAGAGGCCGAGGCGTTGAATAATGTGGCCAGCGGAATCGCGACGAGCTTGGGTCTGGTGGACATCGTCGTATTGGACGATAAAGGGCAGTACGTGTTGGGAAACAGGGAGGACAGTGCTACCGAATACGTACTACCAGATTTGACGACTGGTACGGCCCAAAATTTCGTTGGGCAGAGGGTCGTGCAGAATACGGACGGGGACATGCAGCCGACTGTTCTGCCTGCGACACAGGTAAGTTTTTCATTTTCTTATTTGAGGGTTTTTTAATAAATAATAATAATAATAAAATGTCTTTATTAGGCACATTATATAAACTACAACATAATGTGATCTCTACGTAGGCGAAGTCTAGCTCTTGGCTACTCTACTTAACCTACCCAAATAATAAATTGAAATACTTAATCAAAGGAAACTTTGACAAGCAGCAAAAGACGCTTCAAAACAATGAGCTTGATAGCTTCCTGACATACATAATATATACACACATATATTACGTAAAAATAAAATAAAATATAAGAATTAAAAACTAACTTTTCCACAATTACTACAATGACAAATAAATCTGTTTCACATGCTTACGAAATCTGTTTACTGGCCAATCCTTTATATTGTCATCTAATTCGTTATAAATCAGGATAGCATTGTAAGTGTATGAACTACGAAATAAAGTTGTTTTATACATAGGGATCTCTAGTCTTTTTCTGTGTCTGAAATCAATGTCTGAATTATTTCGTCTGAAAACAAGGGGGATCGAGAAGATATGATCTTATGTGTAAACACTGCTATATGGTACTTGCAAGCATTTTCTATACACATCCAACCAATCTGAAATCTCTTTAAGGAAACATGATCATACTTCTTGAGATTAAATACAAATCGACAACAAGTATTTTGGAGTTTTTGGAGTCTTGCTTTTGTGATAGAATCAAGACAATGATAGAACACAGTGCTACAGTAAAATTAGCTTGGAAATATAATAGCCTCACATAACTTTTTTCTAACTTTAAAATTCAAAATAGAGCAATTGACATAAAAACACTTCAAAGTTGCATAACATTTTTTTAAGATAGACGAAACATGCTCCTTAAACCGTAAAGTATAATCAATAATCAACCCTAAATTTTTTGTAGTATTTACGACAGCTAGACGCTGCTTGTCAATTTTTACATCAAGAGAATTCAATATTACGTTTAAGATTTAAGATTGTTACCATATGAGTATCCTACTATTGCCCCAAATCAAGCTCATTGATTGAAGTATGTAAAGTGTTACTATTAAAGCTCTTATATATCTGTCTATCATCGGCATAGCACATCACAGAAGAGTTTTTCACAGAGCTACCCAAGTCTATAGTATAAATTAAGTACAACAAGGGCCCTAAAACTGAACCCTGAGGGACACCTGATGTTATATCAATCGGACTAGATATAGTGTTGTCTATCTCTACTACTTGTTTACGATTCGAAAGATATGTTATAAAAAACTTCAATTTAGCACATAAAAGCTCATGATCTATTTTATCGAAGGCCTTAGAATAATCTAATGATACAAGTGCTGAAGCATCTCCCTTATCAAGCGAAGCAATGATGTCATCTAAAACCCTTGCTAATGCTGTAGTTGTACTAAAACCACTGCGGAAACCAGATTGACACGACAAGAAATCATTATTAGAGAAATAATGATAAACCTGATGTTTAATCAATTTCTCCGATATCTTCGATATAACAGGAAGCAAAGTTATAGGTCTTAAGTCTGAGAGACATTTTGGATTTTTACATTTAGGCAAGGGCTTGACAAGAGATAGTTTCCAAGCATCAGGGAAATACCCAGCCTCCAGGCAACAGTTCAATAAATGCGTCAATGGTAGTAGTACTCGAGGCAAGCAATGCTTAAGCATTGAGACTGTTATACCATCCGAACCTGCTGCATTAGATTTTAGGGACAGAATAATGTCTAGCATATGTTGTGGGGTAGCAAAACTAAATTCAAATCTAGCACTTTCATTAATTTTGGTACTATTAAATTTATCAACTAGATCCTTGCAATTGCCCGAAGGTGTGAAAACGGAAGAAAAATAATTGTTTACTTCATCGGCATTTTTCAACTGCGTAGGTAAAGATCTATCTACATTAGTTTTGAGTTTCAATGAATGTACAGCTTTCCAGAGATGCTTGTTACTATTTAGTTGTTCATTGAAGCTTAGATATGCTGCTTTCTCCCGCCTAATAGCGGAAATGACATCATTTCTTAATTTCTGGTAATATTCGAGACTAGCTGGACTTTTTAAAATCTGATACTTTCTGAAGGCTTTATCTCTCTCAGAGATCAAAAATTTTATGCCATGGAGCATAAGGTTTAGTAATACGTGCTGAAACAACAGGAGCATGGACATCAAACAAATCCAAAATATGATTAGAAAAAAACGTAGCTTTATCCTCTAAGTTACTGATGTAATATATATCATCCCATGGGATTTTATACAAATCCACCAAAAACTGATCTTTACAACAATGTTTAAAGTCTCTATATTTGACAGTCTTTTGAAAATTCTTAGGTCGTGTGATGTTGAAGTCACATCCAACTACATTATGATCTGACAAATTCGGAACAGGTGCAGAGATAGTTGAAATTAATGATGCATCTAAGTTATTTGTTGTACAAATGATATCTATGGAGGTTGCCGTGGTTAAAGTTATCCTAGTTGGTTGGGTGATGTGAGATACCATATCGTAGCACGTAATGCAATCTAGAAAAGAATGGTCAGTAAGTTGATCAACGTTTATATCACCCAGCAAGCATACATTATCATACTGAGGAGACACAAATGAGAGAAAGTTGTCTATATGATCAATAAAACTTGATAATCTGCTCGAAGGAGCTCTGTAGATAACACAAACCAAAATTTTTAGATTATTCAACACTATTTCAGCACAAACCTGCTCCATACCATCTGGACATAAAAAATCTTGCAATACCAGCTTACCTCTCAGTGAATCCCTTAAATAAACACCAACTCCTCCTCCACGTCCTACTCGATCAGTATGAAAAAAGTGTACTCAGGAATATTTACTATATCTGCTGTAAAATTATTATTAATCCATGTTTCGGAGATACCCATAATATCATAGTTATCAGTAGTCAACAAATCTACAAAGGAATCAAAGCCAGCAAACAGAGATCTTACATTCAGGTGTCCAACAACAAAATGGTTATAAGTTTTTGTGCAATTATTCATAAGCAATCTGCATTTTCAAATTATCGATCTTCATTTTGTAATAACTGCAATAGATATCACTTGCAACATGCTTGGTACACCACTTAGTTTTATATCTATCATTATGAAACTTACAGTTAGGACATCAAGAATCATCAGCTTTACAATCTCTAAATTCATGAAAACCTGAGCACTTAGAACAGACAACATTCTTGCTTCGGCAATCTTTCTTACCATGACCAAATTTACAACATTTGTAAGTAGCAAATATAAATTTTCCCTCACAGTACATCTCACCCAGCCAATAAAAACAAACCCTTTGCTATTAAGTAAATTGAACAAAGAAGGAACCACCTCGATAACAACATTTTTTGTATTTTTAACCTTATAGCAACTAATTATTTTTATTTCATCTGAATTAACACCTAAATTGTTATTGAATATTAAGTCGTCAACAAAACTATCAACAAATTCAAGTTTATCTGGACCAGGATTTTTGAAACAGTCATTAGGTACACCCTGTATCAACATTCTAGGAAACATTTTGGTAGGCTCACAAACATCGAACTTAACTTCCTAAATCAGATTTTAGAGAATCTTTTAGAGTCTCCACATCTTTTTTACTATTACAGCTGATCATCAGACCATTTTTGGTGAGTTTAGTCTTGTTGATATTGACATTAAGAGCACCAGGCGAATAACGAGATTTAAAATCATTTTCGACAGTTTTGTACGAAGTAGAACGATCTGCAGGCTTAATCAACAAATATGAATGGTCCACTTTTTTCACGCTAGCACTGTACGAAACACAATCTTTGTTTTTGCTGCTGTTGCCTACTGGCTGACTTCGAAATTTATCTTCAAGGTCACTTATGAGTTTTTTCTGAATTTCCACAATATAACCCTTTGTTGAAAGTAACCCTTTTATACCTGCCGTCGGCATGGAGCTCTCTCTGATCGACGAACAGCGCATCAACATCAATTTTCTTGCATAGCTAGGCAAGACTGGTCGTGAGAGTTTCGAGTGTTTGGAACAAGTTTACGGTGACAATTCTCTGAAGGAACCAACCGTCAACAAGTGGTTGAAAAGGTTTCGGGATGCCGAGGTAAAATGTGAAAGATGGCCAGCGCTCATCATCGAGCTCTGAGGAAAATTCGGGGCTGTGTTTTCAAAGACCGTCGATTGGAAGTTAGAATGAGGAACTGTCAATCCCCAAAACTGAATGAAAAAATTGTGCGCGAAAAATAAGCCGAAAAAATCAAGGACCAATTTAAAAACAATGATGATTGTTTTCTTTGATTCTCGGAGCATTATTCAACAGGAGTTTGTGCCTCCCGGTCAGACAGTGAACGGAAATTTCTACATTGTAGTTTTGCGTCAGAGCTCAAGTTCGACCGGATTTGGCACAAGGGGGCCGGTGGTTCCATTATCGCGACAACGCGCCTTGGGGGATGAGGAAGCCATCGAGGCAGAAACGTCACGGCAAATGAAAAGCCTCACAATTGAGGACTTTCAGCGATCCTATCAATAGTGGAAACGGCGTTGGCAGAAGTGCATCTTGTCTCCGGGAGTGTACTTTGAAGGAGACCATATTGAAATACCTGAACAATTGTAAAATAAAGTTATTAATTAATTATAAACCTCGGATGATTGATATGCTTCTACGAGCTTAAATAACTAAAATAAACTGTGCAAATGATATCTATGTGACATTTGAGTGACGAATACAATGATGCTGTGGCTTGATAAAAATAACAAAAAATGTAAAACCAATGCCAGGATGGAAATCAAAGTTGAACAGCATATATGAGTATGGGTCCACTAATGACTGTCGTCTACCAGTTGTTCACAGCTGTGGTCCTTCCTCTGGACCTATAGAAAGGATTTTTCCGATATTTGGTGTGGTCTAACCTAAACTTCGAAATAGGCTGGAGAATGAGAAGGCGGCTAAATTGGCGGTCCTTTTAAAATATTATAGTAAATACGAGAGAGGTCTGAATAGTTTCCGACCTCAACGTGAAGATGGTACCACTCGTAAATAAAAGCAAGTGAATTTAGTTGTTCATCTGTTGACAAAAGTTTCAATTATTTTGGACGCGCAGTTGTTAAATAACAGTCGTTTGAGTGAGTGTTTATGTGAAAATGCGCATAATCGGGTATCAAGCTGTCATTAAATATTTGTTTTTGAAAGGCAATACGCAAATCAAAGATGAGTTGGATTCTGTGTATGGGGACTCTGCACCATCATTTACCACAGTGAAATTTTGGGCAGCTGAATTTAAACGTGGCCGTAAGTGCGTGCGAGAACGTTCGGGACGACCAAAAACTGCAACTACCGTCGAAAACATCGCCAAAGTTCGCCAAATGGTGCTAGACGACCACCGAGTTAAAGTGAGAGAGAGAGAGCAGAGGTTATGAGCTTGTCAAAAGAACGTGTTTGTCACATATTAGACCAACATTTAGGCATGAGAAAGCTGTCCGCGCGTTGGGTGCGCGCTTGCTCACGTTAGACCAAAAACGTGTTCGAATCCGATTAATTACTTTAGATGAAACTTGGATACAGCATTATACGCCCGAAACAAAATATAGAGTCCAAACAGTGGCTCCAAAAAAAGCAAAAACTGTTTTTTCGGCTGGGAAAGTGATGGCGACTGTTTTTTGGGATAGTCATGGAGTTATTTTAATCGATTATCTTCAAAAAGGAAAAACCATTGCAGGAGCATACTATGCATCATTACTTGACAAGCTGTCACGTGCCAAAATCACGTAGCCCCTTACAACTACAAGACTTAACTTCGAGGTGCAACAGGCCAAGTATCCGAACAATATGAGAGAAGCCTTGGTCCTATAACCCAAGTGGGGTCCATTAGTGGACCTCACTTGGCTCATAGGCTGGATTTTGGCACGTGACAAAGCTGAAGGCAGAGCTTGCGGAAAAACGGCCACATTTACAGAAAAATAAAATCCTGTTTCACCAAGACAACACACCGTCTCACACCCCAGCGGTTGCCATGGCGAACATCCACGATTTACGGTTTGAACTGCTTGACCATCCGCCTTACTCACCAGATCTATCCCCAAGCGACTTTTTTTTGTTCACTCATCTGAAAATTGCTCTCGGAGGCAATCACCGTCGTGAACAATTATTATTTTACAGAGAAAAACGCCGAGTACTATTTAGACGAGTTACAGAGATGGGAGCATCGCTGAGAGAAGTCTGTAGAGTTACAAGGAGACTATGTTGAATAATAAAAAAAATCACAAAAAAGTCTTGTACCTTTGTTGGTCGGGAATTTTTCAGACCACCTTTGTAGTTGTTGATTAACTTTCTTATTTATGAATAGTTTGCTATAACATAGTTTACATTTATAAATGAAAACGGTGCATGTTAATAAGTATCTTACTTTTATGTAGCTGATTTGATTATTATATTAATCAAGTAATCAATGAACTTCCTTAAAAAAATGATCTAAATTCTGATTGTTATAAAAAAATCGCTTGATATAAATAATTGATTTATATCGCATGGCATAAATCAATCGTTCCTTCAATTTTCGTAGTCTTTTCTCTCCTTCAGAAATGCTGGGGTATTTCTAGAGTTTTACTATTCCGTGACAGCGTCAGCGCTCTCATATTGTGAGGTTATGAATCCTAAGAAATTTCAGGCTCATAAAACAGATGTTTTATCAAGTTTTTCAGCCTGGAATTTTGAAAAAAAATAGAACGCTGACATGAAACAATAAAAATCTAGAAATACTCCTGCGCTTCTGAAGAAAGGAAAAACTACCAAAATCAAGGAACCCACAAAGGTGGCGACTGACGATTCGGCACTTGAATCAGTCAACCCTGAAGCTCCCCATTCATAATTGCTCGGTCATGCCCAACTTGACGCAGGCATAACCAAAAACTTTTAACGGATGTAGAGATCCTAATCATTCGATGCAAGTAATAAGATATCAGTGACAGATTACCTGTATGAGAGCTATGTTACTAGGTCTCGCGTTTCCTTAGCAAGCTTGGTCGCCGAGCGCGATTTTCAGTCGTCTAGACGGGGAAACTTCTTTAGGGGTGCACGCCCATTGGGGTGAAGGGATACGAAGAGAAGAGCGAAGCCTTCGCTTGACTGCTTTACATAGCCGCTTGCTAGTGGCTAGTCTAGCAAATGCGCACGGGAACGCTTATGCCGACGACACCAAGATTTACAATACTGTCGTAAATTCTGCTACGCCTCAACGAGATCTTGATATTGTTTGTCAATGGTCAGTCAGTTGGCTTTTACCCTTAAATCTAACTAAGTGTTGTGTCCTTCACCTCGGGAAGACAAATCCGCGATTTACATACAAGATCTCTGACCACAACATCGAAGCAGTTTCCAGCCACACTGATCTGGGCGTTGTAGTCAACGATCGTCTTTCCTGGTCAGAGCATATTCACCACGTTACATCAAAAGCCAAGAAACTTCTATACGTGCTGGAGAGGTCTTTCAAAGGGTCCGATGTCAACACTTGCGCCTACATTTACAAGGCATTCGTGAGGCCAATTCTTGAATTCGCTGGCCCGGTATGGAACACTGTGCTTCTGCGCGATAGAAATCTCGTTGAATCAGTACAGCGTCGGGCTACTCGTATCCCTTTTGGAGCACGAAGACCAAGCTATGAAGATCGCCTTGAATTATTCAACCTGACCTCATTCTCTGAGCGAAGACTTCGTGGCGATCTTATAGTTACGTTCAGGATACTTCATGGTTTGATGGGCACCAACCTCATGCATCTATACCGTCTGTCGCGCAGCAATCTACGCGGACACAGCTTCAAACTGCATAAGGAGCCATTTAAAACAATAGTCGGACAGTGGTTTCTTCCCAACCGCATATTCAACACCTGGAATAGTTTACCTGAAAGTGTGGTTGGTGCTACTTCAGTTAATAGCTTCAAAGTGCGGTATGATAGCTGGAGGAGTGTACAAACTTTATAGCTATGAACTGTCTTTTTGTATTTTTTTCTATTTGATGTATTTGTGTTACGTGTCCGTACACTATATTTACTGCATGAGCTTATAGTACTGTGTACTCTGCTCATCTCAATTATCATAATAATAATAATAATAAAAACTAACCTGATTGTTGATGTTTTGCTTTGACGACAATTCGTATCACACTGCCAAACAATGAAAATGCAAACACATTTGCCTTTATTTTCAGAAGGATTGTCAGACTATCCAATTGATGCCTGATGATGCTTTTAGAATGATGGTGCAACACATCAGAGGTCTGCATTTTTATTGTAAAGCTTCTGGATAATTGTGTCGAATTCATATTTTTGTGTAGACATTCAAAATTATTTTCATAGTGTCTAGATACAGGGTGACTTCGAAGTTGAGTCATTTATTTTAACAGTGAGTAGATCTGATCAAAAGAAATGTTTTTTTCCTTTACCATTTTCCTGGTAAAATTAAAGTAACAAAGTTATAGCCCTTTGGAAGTTTGAGTACCGCCCTGTCTCAATAACAATATTATGTGGTCGTGTTTGGCGACAATGGATATAATCCGCCGAATCGGTTCATCGCATCGGAAACAAAAAAGCGAAAGAATTTGGAACGATGTTTTTACAAGTATCTCATTCATTTGTATACAGTCAGTGTCAGTGAATAGTGGTATGTGTTGCGTGGCTCAAACGAAATAAAAAATGGCACATGTTTATGCGGATCGGTTTCCCAATCGAGTGCAACCAACCCCTCGTGACTTTGTTAATGTAGTACAACGGGCTTGTGAATCAGGTGACTTAAGACCTCACAGGGGACCTCACGATCAAATACAGGTCCGCACTGAAATACTTGTCGGGAGGATACTTTATAAAACAAGGTAAACATTTTTTTTTATTTTTTTTTTATTTTTACACACATATTTTGGTTTATCTTCCTTCTACAATCATTATCTGAAAATTAATGACTGAACTTCAAAGTCACCCTATATAGATGAATCCAACTACAAGCCACTATGAACCTGCATTCGTGCACTCTCTTGTGATCTTCATTATTCAGGGTTGAGTTGTTACTCTGGGTCCTAACATTAGCAGTCTCTTACCATCCTCCATCGACTGGTGTCGGTTTAATATGATTTTAATGCAAAAAAAAACAAAAACGATGAAAATACATAACCTAACAATCTTGACACATTGTCATGTTCGTTATCGCCACTATTTCGGAGCGTATAACCGTATGAAAAAAAGCTGGAGCATGAGGGTCAGGCGATTTCAAAAATGAGTAGCTCAGTTGCATGAGACTCTACTGGTATTGACAGGTGATGGGAGCTCCGAGTTACTCCGAGTAACACAAACGAGAAAAAAGCATCTCGTATAATCAAATGAGCGACGGGAAGGGAAGCGACAAGTCCTTTACAGATAATCAAATGGCAGCCCGTACACCAGGACGGTGCGAAGCGATGTATCACGTTTGACGTGTGCAATGACAATTCCGCCTCGATTCTCTTCGCGTCGCTTCGCCTCAATGGACGGGCAGCTTAACGCGACGTTTTTTTGCACTCACACACACCGTTTCAAGCGGTGAAAAGTAGGGATATTTTTCACGGTCGTCCATTTAGTTCTTCTCTAAATTCTCATTGAAACCTGATCCGTTATTTAAGAAAATTTACTGATAGGTATTTCGTTCCTCAGGAGGTGTCGTCGACTGACGAGTTGGTGATGGTGCTAACAGATCATGATTACCAGGAAGAAACTGAAGCAGCACAGCAAGATAATTCAAACATAGTTGTGTTATACAGTCATCCCGTTGATGGACAGCAAGGGCAGTTTATTACCTCTCAGGTAAGCGACACTTTATCGACGGTGAGCAACTATTTGATATTTTTTTTTTTTTGTAAACCAACCATTAAATTCAAAAAATCCTCGATATTTAACCATAAATATGTCCAAAATATGGCGGTCGACTGCTGTCTGTATACGCGGTATTCCCCTTCGACACAGTCATAGCATCGATCTATGGCAGGGGTATTACGTATATTGAAAAGTGAAATTATGTCGGTTTTTTGAAATTATATAGGTTTTTTGTGTCATTGTGTAGGTTTTCCTAGGTCAACATTTTCACTTGATGCGCACTCGTTGTGTACGTGTAAATGTCATGACGCTTGCGCTATCATGTTTTGGCTCTATAGCTGGAAGAAAACGTGCCAAACAACAGTGCATAGGTGCTTAATGAGGATTTGTGTGCAAATAATATGTGGTGATGATAATTCCCTTGGTTTCTTGTCACAAATATGCTTACTTGAGATGTATGCAAACCTAGAAATTATTCCTCTTTTTCTTATTCATCCTGGAAATGAAATATGCAAATTTGCTGAATTTCAAAGATGACAAACATTAAAAAGAAAATCCATGGTTGGAGAAGAGAAGAGAAAATAGGCTACAGAGAGGAATATGTATTATACAGGGTGACTTCGAAGTTGAGTCATTTATTTTAACAGTGAGTAGATCTGATCAAAAGAAATGTTTTTTTCCTTTACCATTTTTCTGGTAAAATTAAAGTAACAAAGTTATAGCCCTTTGGAAGTTTGAGTACCGCCCTGTCTCAATAATAATATCATGTACTCGTGTTTGGCAACAACGGATATAATCCACCTTATCGGTTCATCGCATGGGAAACAAAAAAGCGAAAGAATTTGGAACGACGTTTTTATTTCATTCAGTTCAGTTATACATACATTCAGTGTCAGTCGCGTGTGAATAGTGTCTGTTGCGTGGCTCAAACGAAATAAAACATGGCACATGTTTATGCGGATCGGTTTCCCAATCGAGTGCAACCAACCCCTCGTGCCTTTGTTAATGCAGTACAACGGGCTCGTGAATCAGGTGACTTAAGACCTCACAGGGCACCTCACGATCAAATACAGGTCCGCACTGAAATACTTGTTGGGAGGATACTTTATAAAACAAGGTAAACATTTTTTTTTATTTTTTTTTTATTTTTACACACATATTTTGGTTTATCTTCCTTCTACAATCATTATCTGAAAATTAATGACTCAACTTCAAAGTCACCCTGTATATTTAAACGTGAAAAGGTGGTTGTTGTTGCGTCATTTCTAATTTTTCTGTGATGTGGCTTAATTTTTTAAGTAATAATGGCGGTTGCGACAATGCCCCCAAGTTAAGAGCCTTAAGTGGCCGCGAAAAGAACCAAAAAAGGAGTGGTGTGAACCATGAGGCACTAAAATGGTGCTTACCTTGATCCTGTGGTGCTGACGTCGGCAGGGGCCCCTGGTCTCTTCTGAAGCTTCTTAACAGCCACTATACTACAACTATTTAAAACTGTAATGACTCATACGTGTGATCAACACGTGATCAGAGCTCGATCCCGACTTCCTTCCAGTACAGCCGTATAGCGTACGACATATGTCGTTTCTGTGGCTTTGCGGTGGTCAACAGCACAGACAGAGATGGAAATAATGGCTGATTGTTCTCCGCCGGTAGAACCAATGAAATCAAAGACGCGCCTCGACCAGTAGACTCATAGGCGTCGGCAACGCATTGGAACGTGTTTCGTTGAGCGATCGCATATTGTGTGTTTTTATAAGAATTGTTGTGTGATTGTTATTGTTGTGGTTTCTGTGGTTACTGTTTTGGTTATACTTAACCATGGAGAGTACAAATGGCACGAGTGGAAGTACTGAAAGCCAGGGAACAAGTAGACGGCTTCGTAAAGCACTGAAGAGGGACGGGAAAGAAATCGTGCTCAACGTGTTCAATTATCTGAACAGAACTATGTCGCAGGGAGATACACTCGCGCGTTGTGAAAGTATGACAGGCGTTCCAGAGTGGACCATTCGCAGGGTGGTGCATGAAAAGAAGAAAACTGGAGCTACTACTGATTCAAAGTTTAATTTGAAGGGACGAAAGGCCGTTAAATTGGATGACGATAGCAAAATGGCGTTAAGGCGAACCATACATTCATTCTTCTTTAGGAATGAGATACCAACCCTCAAGGCTGTACATGCAGCGATCAAGGAAAATGAAATTATACCCCAAATGAGCGTCGAGGTAATGAGGAAATCTCTGCACGAAATTAATTTTCGTTACGAAACGCGTAATCGGAAGTCAGTATTGATAGAGAGACCTGAAATAGTCGCCTGGCGTCGAAAATACCTACGCGAAATGATTGAATATAGGCGACAAAGCAGAAAAATCTATTATTTGGACGAGACATGGGTAAATGCAGGTCACACAGTTAAAAAAACCTGGATAGACAAAAACGTAGTGAGTAACCGACAAGCAAGCATTGAAGGTTTGTCAACAGGTCTTCGTGGACCGTCAGGGAAAGGTCAAAGATTGATCGTAACTCATATTGGTAGCGATAGTGGCTTTTTAGAAGAGTGTGACTTGATTTTCGTCTCTAAGAAAGAAGGTGATTACCATGAAGAAATGAATGCCAGCTGCTTCGAGAGCTGGTTTCAAGGGGTGCTTCGGCGAGTGGAGCCCAACTCTGTGATCGTCATGGATAATGCTTCCTACCATAGTCGTCGAGCCGAACGTGTACCGACTATGGGATCTCGAAAAAGTGATATGCAGCAATGGTTGCGCGAAAAAGGAATCTCGTTTGACGATTCATGTGTGAAAGCGGAATTGTATGAAAAAATTAAACAGCACAAACCTGCGAACATCAGTTACGTGACTGATGAGATGGCCCGTCAATGTGGTGTCACTGTGCTGCGGTTACCGCCCTACAACTGTGAACTGAACCCAATAGAGCTCATCTGGGCTCAAGTGAAGGGTTATATTGCGCGCCATAACACAACCTTCAAATTACCAGACGTTAAGGTTTTACTTGAGACTTCCATACAGCTAGTAACGCCCGAAGCTTGGCAGAATGCTATCATGTTGTGAAGGAAGAAACAAAAATGTGGCAGCTTGACCACCACATCGACACCATCATAGAGCCAGTTATAGTCAATTTCAACGAGGAAAGCGATAGCGACAGTTTATTACTGTCAGATGTAAGTGGAAGCGACGATGAATAAAGGTAATTCCCAAATTTTTGACTTACAATATGTTTCAAACCACTCTTTATTAAGCATGTGACAAATCTAGTTCACCCATGTTAAACATTCATACCCCGCCTATGAACAGCCGACTACTGGTACTTAAGTGATGTTCACGTGAACATCGATGAGTCATTACAGTTTTAGATAGTTATAGAATATCACAGTAATTTAGCGTTTATAAAGCATGGCGGTTTCACAAAACAGCATTAGCAAAATTGCGTGATTCTAACCGGTTCTAACGATTCGACGGCTGATCTTGTTCTCCTTGCGGTTAGAGTGCGCTCTTCCTCTTCAAAAAAATCATAGCCACGACCAAATTGAGTGCCTAAAAAACAGCGGCGGAGCAAACAATAGAAATTAAAGCGAAATTGACATTGCGGTCGCAACAAACCCTGTTGAATTGCCTGTGTCCCTCCCACGAATGGGAAAACCGCTTGTTACTAGTTATTTCGACCAATGTAGCAAGTATGGTTTTCATACTGACAGGACTTCATGATTGTCTGACTGACGATACATTCACCACGGTGGTCTTTTTTAAATGACAATATATTTTGTTTACCTGTCTTCCATGTGTTTTGCGAATACAGCCTGAACGGTACTCTATCTCATCATAAACACCCGAAGCCATCGTTATAATTTTGAGATAGCTTAAAACTAGCAGATCCTAGGACTTCCTGGAGTAGTCATTCTCTCGCCTAAAAGAAGTCCACCCCTCAAGCGACAAACGTGCATGAGATTATTTGTTGTTTTTGGACGTACCAGACATAGCACCCTCGAACGCGTTTCGAAAACGCATCTGCATTGTTCATTGATCTGAAATACAAGAAATAGTACTTCGTCACATTAAGGGAACCATGTTATTTGTCTTGTGAGGTTTGTTTTAGAATTTCTACTTGCAGGTTTTTTCTCTGGTTTGTTACTGGACCCCAAATGCGCAAATGTTTTGCTTGGCCATTTGAAGGTCACACTGTTGGGTACTATGTCATTTCCTTACAAGACAGACAACATTGTTCGCTTGAGGTGTCGAAGTACATTTTGATCCCATGAACAATACATATATGTACAGCATTACTGGTCGAATAGTGCATAACAGACAATCGGTATATTGTGCCAACAGTTCTGGGTAGGTTTTCGAGTTCGTTTCGTGCGAGGGTAACGTGTCTGGTACATCCAAAACTAACGGATAATTTCATGCTCGCTTTTAGCTTTGGAGGACTGGACGCCTTTTGGGACTGGGAATGCTTTCCCCAGGAAATCCTGCACTTTACGAGGTGCCATTTGAGAATTATAATGATGGCTTCGCGAGATCTCAGCGTTGTACAGGACTGTTAGGACTGTTGCCATAACACATTGTATACTGTATAAAGGCCACCATGGTGTCCGAAACGTCAGTAAAGATGTAATTCACACATATGTAGTTTCATTTGGCCAGACAATCATGGAATCCTAATTTTGGAATCAATATAACCTCCACTGCCTCGGATCGTAGATAAAAAACAATACAAAAAAAATCATGAGCTCTTTAAGTTCGAAATCCACTTCGTTTCATGAAACACTGACATCAGTTTTTTAGAAATCCGTATCGATAGCTTAATTTTTATTGTAGGGAAACCTTCTGGTGAACTCTCAAACTGGAATGTTGGAACTAAGGAACGGACCTACGATGACCACAGCATCCTCGAATCAACTGATAGTCACCACGGCCACAGAAACGCCGATAGAATCCATCGAAATGATCCAAAGGGAAATAGATACTCACGAAGCCGTGAAAAACAGAACATTTGTACAGGTACTCATTTTTAGGATCTTGCTTTCCTACATATGACATAAGTTTATATTGCTTAGTGCTCTTCAATCGTTGGGTAGCATTCTAGTTGATCAGCTTCCTATTTGGATGATGATGCATGCTTTCTTTGTGCCTAGCTGCTACTTTCTTGATTTTGTCGATAACCTTAAGAGATATTCAAATTTCGATAAATATACTTATTAATTTAAAAAAAAGTCTAGATGCATTTGATAATAGAAATATTTTTTATTCTTTGAATTATACTGAAAAAGAGCTTCATGTAGGGTAAAATTTGATGGGTAACTTTGTATTCAAATTTATTTATTGCCAACTAAATCCTAATAACAAAGACGACGTTAACACATAGATGTCCGCGGAGATGGTGTAACAGTATATTACAACAAAGAAAGATCGAAGTAAAATGAGATTTAAGGCAAAAACATCTTTTCGAAATTACATATTAAAATCTAGTTAAAACCGTACAATCATGTCCTCAACAGATACTTAACAGTTGCTCTCTTAAAAATATGTGGAAGTCTGGGGAGTATGCTAAAGATACCTCGTCCCATGGGTGCCCGCAATGGGCGGCTAAAACTTGCATATTTAGCATGATTTTGTGTACAATTTTGAGGATTTTTAAGATACGGCTCCGCCTGTGAAAATTTACAGATATACTTCACAATAAAAACTGATAAAGCGCACAGTGAAGAACCCCAAAACTGCAAAGTAAAATTGACATAGTATTGGAACTTAAACATCATGAAGACAAAGTATTAAAGCACAGACGCTATGCGATTTTAATGACAGTGATGAAGTCTTCTAGTTCCAGTTCAATGTAGAGTCTAAGGGCCATATAATCAGTCGTCGTTACTACAATTTCTTTATGGCCTTGATTTTCTTAGTTTTCTACTGTTCCGTGTCAGCGCTCTATTTTGAGATTACATTACAAATTTGCATCAAATTGTTCATGATTTTGTTTTGTATCATCTGTTATATCAGCCTGAAATTTCCTGCAATTCAAAAAGAAAACAGCCTCACAATAGGAGAGCGCTGACGCTGACACGGAACAGTAGAAATCTAGAAATACCCCAGACTTTCTGAAGGAGAGACAAGTCTATGAAAAGTTTAACCATCACAGTTGAAAAAGATTTTCGATATATTGAATAAATTATGAAGTATTGGTAAAACTACTTCAAACGAAAGTTGTAGAGCATGAAAGTACTTTCAAACTGAGAGTACTTTCCCAAAAATCGAAGACTTTATTATTAGCTAATAATCCTGATCTATATTGCAAATATATGCATCGACCATATCTCACAGAGCTTTATTTGAGACGTTTAGATAATTTGTAGTATTTGGAACAGCCTCATACTTGAACATCATACAGCCATAAAGGTTTAAAGATCTGTTTATAAACCATACTGTTTACAGGACACAAAGGCTGGAGAGGTGCATGGTGGTCAGGATATGCCGGATATTAATGAAGAACCAGCAGCGACCGAAACTGCTCCGTCTGAAGATGCCGCTGTTTCAGGAGAAGATAGTCAAACTGGTGTCACTGGTCAGGAGGGGGCACAGCAGCTTCAAGAACCTGGACATACAGATGAAGATGCTGCACAAGAGGGTAACAATAAGGAAGAGATACAAGGTATGTGTCAGCTAATTTTCGGAGAGTCTCACACATCAGTATGTTCTTTGTTTGCTTGTTGTAGATTTATTTAGTGTTAATGCTACAATATCAATGTTACACAGTATATCACATAAGATAGCATGTCTTCAAGTATACATATTTTTATACAAAATGTCACTACTATGAATTCTGGTTATCCATAAAATATTTTTTTTCAATTTCCCTTTAAACATTTTCAAACTGGCACACATCTTGATGTCATTACTTAATTTATTAAATTCGTACAATCCCTTTTGAAATACTGATTAGTTTGTTATACTGCTACTAAAATTTTGTAAATGAAAGTCTATATTCCCTCTAATAGAATAATTATGGTATTCATTGTTTAGTTAATACAATTTTTTAAGTGATCTGGTAGAAGATGATCTGTTAACTTGAATATGTAAATCAAGTAGATTATGAAATTTTTGATATTTTAACTTTGTAGTTCTTTCAGCATAAAATTTATTCTTGTATATTTATTTTTATTTAAGATAATTCTCATAGCTTTATTTTGTAATATTTCTGATTATGAAAATACGATATATAATAAAACAGTTTCGTTTTCAGTGAACAAAATAGTCGAACAAAATAACAAATGAGGGAGAATTATGTACACAATTTTTTTTTAGAATAAACGCTTAGGCTACCTATGCGAAATTCTATAAATGTATATTTTTGAAATAATATATTCTTAGTGCCCTTCAAATTTTAATTTACTATTTACGTATGATTTTAATTTAATTTTCTTTAATTAGAACCTGTGGCCGAATCTGAGCAAGAGCAGTGTGTAGAGTACCCTCAACAATCTGTTGAAGACACAACAGACGGTCAACAAGCAACAGACACTACTGATCACAGCGCTGTAACGGCAGAAGAGCCGATGGAAATCGACGAAGCGACGAAAGAAATTGTCCAGCATGTCGATAAAACAGGTAAAATTTCAAAAGCTACGAATAAATAACTACCCTCACACTGGACAAACCGAAACTAATTCTCTAAAAAACTGAAAATTGCATTATGTGCTTTATTTTATCGATGCTGTGTCTGGTACCTTGACCTTTGGATCGTAGATGGAACTGATAACACGCCCGAAGAGTGATCAAACATGTAAATCGTACATTTCGCGAGACCATTGCATGCAAGTTCGTGCAGTTGCAAGACGCGTTGTTTTGTCTGCAATATAATTGCATCCAAAGACTTGCATTTGCAAAACGACCATGTTTCCTTGATTCAAACGCGAAAGGTTATTTTGTTTCAGATTTATTTAGCATAAATGCTACAGTATCCATATTACACAGTATATCACAAAATATATTATGTCTTCAAGACTACATATTTTTATACAAAATTTCACTACTATGAATTCTGGTTTTCCATGAGATATTTTTTCCCTTTGAACATTTTCAAAGTGACACACATCTTGATATCATTACTTAATTTATTAAATTCGTACAATCCCTTTTGAAATACTGACTTGCTCGTGATATTGCTACTGCAGTTTTGTCTATACTTCCTCTAGTAGAATAATTGTGGACTCGTTGTTCAATACAATAAAATTTTCTAAGTGATTTGGTAGAAGATGATTTTTTAACTTGAATATGAAAATAAAAACCAAGTAGACTATGAAATTTTTGATATTTAACCATTGTAGTTCTTTCAGCATAAAATTTATTCTAGTATACATGTATTTATTTTTATTTGGGATGATTCTCATAGCTGTATTTTGTAATATTTGTAATTTTGAAAACACAGTTCCATTTGCAGTGAATAGTGAATAGTCGAACAATATAACAAATTTTAATTTACTGTCTATGTATATGCCCAAATATTTAAATGATTCGATTGACAATTTTTTTATGATTAATTGTAAGATTTATCGAATTTTGATCTAAAGATTTTCCTATTAGCATATATTTTGTTTTGTTTGTGTTTAGTTTAAGTTTATTTACATTTAAAAAATTCATTACGTTTTTCATATCATTATTTAACAGCTCTATTGCAGTTTCAATGTCTTTATTTGATATATATATATATATATATATATTAATGTATCATCAGCAAATAGTTGAATTTTGCAGAGTTGTAAAATATCAGGAATATCGTTAATATATAAAATAAATAGTAATGGACCTAATTTGCTACCCTGTGGCACATCTACCGAAATGTTTTTAGTGTTTGATAATGTATTGCCAATTTTAGTTCTTTGACTTCTATTGATTAAATAATTTTGTAATAAGTTGAATACTGAACCTTGAAATCCATAGCAAGGCAATTTCGTTAACAATTTCTCCCTGTAAATAGTCTCAAATGCTCTCTTGAAATCTAAGAACAGTGTTACTGTTTTTTCATCCATATTTCGCCTCCATTCTTCTACTACCATTTGAATTGCTGTTTCAGTAGAATTCTTTTTTCTGAGCCTGCTTGAAATTTTGTCAATATCTTATTTTCTTCAATATATTCAATGACTTGTTCATATATGATTCCTTCTAAGAGCCTAAAGGAGTGAAATATTTCCTGCCACATTTAATCTATAATTTTGGTTTTTGTTTTTACCCTTCCGAACACATGGTTTAAATATCCAAAAACTAGTTTCAATATCCGACCATCCAACGTCAAAACACAATCAAGCGTAAATCTGTAAACAATTAAATAAAACGACACAAACTAACTCGTAAGTTACTAAATATTTCACCAGAATTGCAGACAACTTTGCACCAAAAATCCAATTAATTTTCATGCAATGCCCAGCAGTTTCAAGGACATGACAGGCAGAATCAGCTGTTTTGTTAGTGTCTGATCAAAATTTCTCTTGCATCTTGCTGACTGTAAAACGGATATTAGCAGTTACGTACGATATTCAATGTTGTGCCCTGTATTATAGGACCTTTAGGCGGTAGGGATAGTCGCTCATCCAAATGAATCGTCCGTATTCTAAGGACGTATTATCTTCGCAGGAAGTGACATGACAGAGATAAATAAGGCGTACCATAGCCCATAGAGAAAGCATCAAATTAATAATTGATAGCACGTTTTCTATTTCCCTTTCATGATTATTTTCTTGAGTGGGGAGAGAGACGTGAACCAGTGAGGGCCGTGGACAGTTCATACGATCACGATTTAGTTTAATCTATGAATCAGCTTCTGTTTGATACGTGTGCTATTTTGAGTTCAGATTTTATTTTATTGGTGGTATATTAGCGAAAAGGTTTAGAGTCACATAAAAAAGAAAAATCTTTTTTGGGTCAGGAAGTGGATGAAGTTTGGGGAAACACAATTTTACAGACTCTAAACTAAGAAATAGACACCATGAAGATTTGAAAAATGCTACAAATGATAGAAGTTCATTTTTATTTCCTGTCGGAATGTGTTTTACCACACATTTCAAAGACAGATTACGACATGGATCACTTTTTGACTTTTCGACTTACTTGCATGTAGATTTAATATAATCTGAATACAAAAATTTCAACGGTCTGCCGTTACCAATTAATTGCTATTTTTAGTTCGAGTAGTTAATATTTGTCATTTGTCTTGATAGCTAGTTCACAAAAAGGTTATTTGTAGCCAAAAACCGGTCGTACAGAACCCCAACAGCGGTATTGAGGAAAGGCGGAATCATGGAATGTGAAAATGCACAGGGTGTGCCATTTAAAATGTTTGAGAAATGGTTCATTTTGCGTACTTGACCACCCTCTTTAAACTGTTGAAAAACCTGAAAAGTAAGTGCTAGGAACAAACTGGCATTATAATTGTTTACAAAAAATTCAGTACGTTGCAACAGTTGCGGAGGTGCGTATTGTCAAAGCTCGGTGTTTTTTTCGATAGTGGAAAATGTGGAAATAAAATATATCAAATTGCTTAGTTTAAAAGGGTGTATCATTTTCCAAGTAAGGATCATAGTACAGGCTACAATTTTTGTAATTACGTTTTTTATATAACGGATGCGCCATCTTTTATGTCGGTATGTAAACATGAAATAACTTTGAAAACGAAAAACTGATTTCTATATATCAGGTATTTTTATTAAATATGGTCATTTACAATTTATTGGGACTAGTTTTTGAACACATCTATCAAGTGTTCACCTTTATTGGCCAAAACAAAATGTGCCCGTTTTGCTGCGTTTTCCATTACTTTTTTGAGCATCTCTGGTGGTATAACGGCGATTGCAGTACGAATGTTTGCCTTGAGTTCTTCAGTGGTCTGGGGCTTGCTGGCGTACGCTTGACTTTTCAAATAACCCCACAAGAAGAAGTCCGGTGGGGTCAAATCTGGAGACCTGGGTGGCCAGTCAATGTCACCTCTTTTTGACATCAGACGTCCAGGGAATTTTCGTTGCAGAAACTGGATTGTTTCATTTGCACTGTGGCATGGCGCACCGTCTTGTTGAAAACAATAACCATCAAGACCTTTTTCACGCATTTGTGTGCAGCCATAATGAGCCAACATCCACCAATATCGATTTCCATCGACTGTTTCGTTTTCGTTGAAGAAAAATGACCCAATGACGGTTTTGGCGCAAACGCCGGCCCAAACAGTCACTTTCCGGTCATGCAATGGCATTTCGTGGATCTCATGTGGATTTTCCGCAGTTTTGCTTATTAACGCCACCAGAAAGCGTGAGATGGGCCTCGTCGGTCATCACAATTTGCTTCCAAAAATCAGTTTCAGCATCAACCATGCGAGCGACTGTTTGGGCGTATTCCAAGCGACGTGGACGGTCAGTTGGCAATCTTTTTTGTATTAACTGCACCTTATAAGGAGACAAATGCAAATCATCCTTCAAAATGCGCAGCAAAGTGGTTCCACTGATGCCAAAATGCTGAGCGCGGTGACGATACGACACTTTTGGGTGCGGGGCAACGCTGTCTCTGACTGCTTCAACCAATTCATTGCAACGTCTTGGTCGTTGATGAACGGTATGTTGACGATCTCCCACTGTCCCGTACTCAAGAAAATTCGAAACCAAACGACGGATAGTGTTGTCAGACGGTGCCTGTTTGCCTCGATATTTTCGACGATATGCACGTTGTGTTAACACAACAAGAATGTACATTGTGACTGTTTCGGCGCGATGTTTCGGTGTAAAGCGATCCTTGACTAAAATTGAGGTAAATTGACGTTTCAGAAACACGTATAACTAAATCACTCGGTTGGTAAATATCAAAGTCATTCGATGTTTCAATACCGACGTAAAAGATGGCGCATCCGGTACTAAGCACAATAACAGTTATCGACCGAATCTGCCCCTTGGCAAACTTACTGTAATCTATTCTGGTATTATTTATTTATCATTAATAAAAATTAAGTTTTATCAAAAAACAAAGAACTGCAAGTTCAGGCAATCGCATCTCGTGCTAAAATCACAGTTCGTGAAATATCTGCAGCCGCTACATGCGGCGTACAATTTCCCTTTTCCTGCAATTGATCATTTGATCTGCTTGAAAGGGGTTGCCGTGACGGAACCACCTGCTGAGGAACACACCGAGGATGACCAGCAAAATAAGGAAGAGGAAGCTGGTGTAGATGTTCCACCAGACACTCGAGACAGTCAAGAAGATCAAGAAGTGCCGGTGAACGATCCATCGTTATTGCAACAATCGAGTGGTGAATGGGAGCAAGGTCAAGAAGAAGCTATGGAGGTTGATGGAAGAGTTGAAGAACATGTTGAAGTTTCTTCCAAGGATGCTGAAGAGAATAACAGATTATCTGAAGATAAACTGACTGAAGAATCGTTGGAAAATGACGATCAACAACAAGGTAAGTTGAATCATGGATTTCGCCATATCTAAAGGAATTTAGTTTCCTAGGATGTTTTAAAATATTCGTGAATGTCGTTCGCTCACTTCCCACGCTGTTTGGCGAGGAAGTACAGTAATCCCGAAAATATTATCGTTATTTGGTGACTCTTGCTGTGTTCACTCTCACAGTGGTCGATTCTGGTAATAGATGGCACTTTGTGCTATCTTGTTATAGATACACCTTATATTCTGGATAGAGGATAGTTGCTCAGCCTTTGTTCGTTGTTCTGCCTGAGACCTAGCCTAGACCATGAGGAGTTGCTAAATAGCACAAAACAGCTGGCCCGTGGTTGGCCGTATGTGGTCGGACAAACTAAAGCTGTACATGGTGTCCTGAAAGATAGGACTTTTCTTTTTAGGAACTACTATGTTCGAAATAACAAAGCTAATTTGCAGTAAACCAGCACCGAAAACGTAAAAACGTAAAAATACTCACTATTCATTTGGTAAGAAATTTTAAGTACTGCCCTGCCCCGCTTGTTTGTAAATAGAGCTGGAAGTTGTCGCTGTTCGATTCGAAAACCCGAGTTTGTTTACTTTTTCTCTAATTTTCAACACTTGGGGCTGTTGTCGAGGTAGTGATCATGCCTTTCCAAACGGCTTTAGCACGATGCAGGTTTGATGGTAAATTCGAGGACGGGATAGTGACGGCGGAGTATCAATAGGATCTTGAAGACCTCACAATAAACCAACATCAAATCGATAACTACGATATTGTTCTAGCAATGTACCATTTTCGGTTTTTTATTATTAATTTTTAAAGACAAGAATGTACAATTACAGAAAATGGATTGAAGAAAAATATGTAACCGAATCATACAAAATCGACATTGTAGCATTAATGCTAAATAAATCTTCAACAACAAGAACTAACAAGTCAACATGTAAACTAGGTTAACCTATACTAGGTGATTCTCCAAGTAGTCTAATCATATTAGAAAATTTCCCCGAAATAATTGTAAAGTCTGGTTTTATTCGAGCAAGTTGTGCAAGGGGGTATTTAAAACATAAACGCGTCAAATGAGAACACCAATATTTGTGGGAACATTTTTTATTTGACAACAAAGAATGAGAAAACGTGTTTTTTGGGATTCAATCGAAAGTGTTGACAGGAACGAAAAAACTTTTCATATAAGATTTTTAGGTATTTATGAGACCTGTGCACGTAAAAAGATCCGACTAATAGCAAACATGATATGGCCGAAAAACGAGGCAAAATGCATGTTTTGGCACTTGGTAATGCGACGATAATATCATTAGTTTTTTGAGAATTTCTAATTATTCATCAAAAAACACCTGTTTTCCGACCATCACTACTGGTTTATTGACCAAAATACAGGGTTGGTTCAAAGAGCATTTAATAGCAAAATACACGTGTTTTCTTTGCCTATATGAATCACAAACCATCCTAAAGATAAATGTTATTTTTATGCGAAAAACAAAGGTTACGTTTTTTTCTTCTAAGCAAATTCAAACATTTCGTATTTGTGAGTAATTGAACAAATGCGTTACGATATTCGAAAAACGTACGTTACTATACACATTTTAAAACAAAGGGGATGAGTCTATCATCTTTTGTTGCGAATTACTCACAAATTCGAAGTGTTTGAATTTGTTTAGAAGAAAAAACGTAACCCATCCTTTTTTGCATAAAAATAACATTTATCTTCCAGAATGGTTTGCAATTCATATCGGCAAGGCAAACTAGTCTATTTTGCTGTAAAATGCCCTTTGGACTAACCCTGTATATTGCTCAATAAACTCGTAGTGATAGCCGGAAAACAGGTTTTTTGGGATAAACAATGAGAAAATCTCAAAAACTACTTGATGAATCTACTCCAATTTTGTTGTGGTTATTTAGAAGTACGAATTTGGAGAATTTCAAATTTCTGCGGGAAACCATCGTCTCATTATCAAGTGCCAAAACCTGCAGTAGGTTTCGGTTGTCGGCCATAGCTTTTTTGCTATTAGTCGGATCTGTTTACGCGTGGTCTCATTTTGTAGGTCTCATAGATGTCTAAAAATCTTATATGACAAGTTTTTTCGTTCCTGTCAACACTTTCGATTGAATCCCAAAAAAACGTTTTCTCATGGTTTGCTGTAGAATAAAAAGTTTTCACTCATTTTATGCGTCCATGTTTTGAATACCTTGCAGCAGTAAAACCAGACTTCAACAATTATTTCGCAAGCCAGTGGTATTTTCGTCTGATATGATTAGACTAAAGGTGGCTCACGCCTATAAACTTTTTATTATTGAAGGGGAAATGACATTCTGAACTCAACAATACCTGCCTCACTTGTCAATATTTGACAAATAAATTTTATTTCATTTTTATTTTTCGATCTAGACTGCCATGGATCCCGTATCTCGCTTCATTTTTGATCAAGTAACAGAAACATACGATTTTGGGGCGAACGACCTTACAGCCGTTTTAAAGGTTTCCTAAACGTTACAAACACTAATCGTGTCAATATATGTATATTGTTGTTCACAGAAATCGAGGCTGAAAAAGAATCATCTGTTGTTGAAGCAGAACCGGAACCTAGAGAGGACGTAGAAGACGATGACGACACGACGCAAACGTCGCATTCCTCCCAGGACCAGAACAAGACCCAGACCGCCATTCTGGAGGACTGGGAGGACACGGATTCGCAACAAAGCGAGCGGCCGCGTCAGGAAGCGAGTCAAGATGAGGAAGAAGATGACAGTGAACAGAAATCAAAGGACAATGTTAATAAATTGATGGACGATTGGCAAGACGACGAGGATGAGGATAAGAAGTAGAGGTCACGAAAGTTAGGGTAAGACATAAACATCTAATATTAAATTGCCAAACTGTTACTCTAACGCAGGCCTCTCCAAATCGAGCATTTGGTGCTGGTGCGCTCCGGTGCTGAACCCAGCGGCACCGGTGCCGTTCCCCCTCTACCTCGACCGCACAGCCGTCGCGACAGAGAGAAACATATCAGCCGACTGTCTCTCGGGCACGGGTCATTTCTTAATAGGACAAGACAAAGTGGACAGGTTTTTTAGCGTCTTAACGTGCTTCTTTTTGCCCATTTTTGTAAATACTGATGGAAAAGCAAAATGTTTAATTTGTCACACGGTATTGAGGCCAGCCCTTCTAAGTTCTGAAGAGGTAATTATTAATTTGGTCATAGTTGATTATTGTTAATGGTGTCGTAATGCAAGTTATATTGTTGCTTTGAAAATCGCAAAAAGTGGGAGACCGTTTACTGACGGTGCACTTGTCAAAGAATGCTTAGTGGAGTGTGCAGAAATATTGTGCCCATCTCCTGTAAGTGACTTAGAGCAAACAATTTCTCGTAGGATACTTGAACTTGGTGCATATTTAACAGGACAACTGCGGGAAAATGTGCCCATGTTGCGCAGTATTCCATAGCTCTCAATAAAAGTAAAGACATTTCTGACACAGCATAATTAGCTGTTTTCGTTAGAGGTGTCGAAATAGTCTTTACTATCACCGACGAACTACTAGACGTTATCCCGCTCAAAGATACATTGCCGGAGAAGATATTTTTGATGCTGTAGAATACACAATGAATGACATGGGTATACTACTCAAAAGTTTGCGTAGTGTTGTTACTGATGGAGCGCCAGCAATGTTATCGGAAACACAAGGTTTTACTGGGCGAATGTAAATAAAAGTACGAGACGCTGGGCTACCTCCGATATCATCGGTACACTGCATATTCCATCAGGAACAACGATGTGCAAAAACCTTCCGTAATTTCAAATCTATTGTCAATGTAATAATAACGTGTGTCAATTTCTGTAGAAAGCAAGGTCTTAACCACTGCAGTTTGAAGTATTTTTAAAAGACCTGGAGGCAACTTAGGGTCACATACCCTTTTATTGTGTTACGCGCTGGTTAAGCTGCGAAAAAGTGCTGAAGATTTATTTTTTTTAAATCATTGACGACGTTGAGATATTTATGCAAATGAGATTTTTACGACGCCAACTTCAGTGCTTTTCGAAACAGAACCGCCGCAGTTCCAAATGGAGCTGATTAAGCTTCAATGCGATACGATCTTTAAGGATAGATACTACCACTACAATAGTAATTTAATTTCATGACCTTGGAAAATTGCTCCATGTTCGGTACAACGTTCTTCTGGGAGCAGATGTTTTCTTTAATGAATTTGAACAAAACTAAAAACAGGTCTTTGTCTGATGTGTCCTTAGAGGCGATACTCAGAATTTCCACTGCTCAAGCCACTGTACCAAATATTAGAAAACTTATTGAATCGAAACGCTGGCAAAGTTCATATTAAGAATAAATGTGTTTACGTCGAAATTAAGTACACTATTTTATCACCGCCTTGACTCGATCAGACCAATTCAAATGTCAATACGAATATCACTCCACTCATTTTCCGTTGGAGCTAGGAGCCGGCGAAATTAAACCTTATCGCGGATTCGACTAAACTTAGTAATAATATGTAGTTTTTAAGTAAATGAACAAAAAGGGCTTGGTATGCCGATGAAAGTAACTGACATATCGACTTGAAAATACAACGTGGCGGTAGGATTTTACCATAACCTATTCGTATATCAACGGTCATGACGTTTCATATTCATTTTACATATACTTTCAAACATCTAGAAGCCTGGTGCCAAACTGACAGACTCAAATGAGCTTTTAAATGCAAGCATGGAGCATACAAACAGGATGTATTATTTTTATCTATTTGCATTGCCTGCTATAGCTTTCAGTCGGTACGACAGAAACTTGTGGCGGACATCAGTTTGTCATACCTTGTAAGCTTCATTGGATTCGGTGAGGAGGGTTAAATTCTCTTGACACTCTTCTTGTTTATTTACTTAAAAACTACTTGTTATTACTAAATTTAGTCGAATCCGCGATGAAGGTATACTCAATGCCACCAGCTCCCGGGTCATTTCTATTCGCAGGGTGCTATGGTTAGCACAACACCTTCCTCGCGATGCGTATGACGCTGCCTAATCCCTCCCCCACCATCACGGAGTCACCCCGCAGCACTGTGATGAGAGCGGTGCTCGGCGCTGCACTGGTGCACTGGTGGCACCTGAGTTGGAGAGGCCTGCTCTAACGTATGGGACAACAAGTTTTGAGAAAAGAATGTATGCTTGATCAACGAAAAAATGAAATTTGATTAAACTCTTGATACGAATAGTTAATTCTGCATCTTTTGATCCTCAATAGCACTCAATTTTAGATGAAGATTTCTATTACCGTCCATTGGACAATGTTCATGTCAACTTCCAGAATTTTTCTAAAAATGCATGCCTGCATTTGTTCATTTTGGGCTTCTCATCCGTTATCATAAACTTCTTTGACACAGTACCGACCCTTGGATAAATCAGGTGCATAGATCAAGAAGATAACGGTAGTTCAACGCGGAGATTGGAACGCCTCAAAAATACAACTTTACCATCTTAGGAAACAATGCTCGAAATTACATCAGTGTTGCCTATGCCAGTCATAGATTTACAAATAATGACCAAAAATGAAACATCATACACTGGACCGCATTTTAAGGGGGCGTCTTCTAGGTAACATTTTTTCGTCGATGGCTGCATTAAGTTTAAAAATAAAATACATTTTTTACCCAAGTAGTGTCCACATTCTAAAGTCTTTACTCAACGTGCATCCGTGGCGGAGATACAGTGGGTTAGTGGCACTATTTTTTCAAATAAAAATGGTACACCATTATTTTTTGGAAACGCACAAGTTTTCAAATTTTACCTTCAATTTGATACAAATAATTAATCTTGTGTTTTTCCCTAGTGTGCTGCACTGTTTTCGTAAAAATAAAACAAATTACAGTGCAAATCGTCTATTATAGGCGGATGACCATCTTAAAAGAAACACTTTTTTTATGAAAAAAGCAGCAGAAACAACATATTAAAAGCTTAAAATGTGTTTTTTATCATGTATTACATAAATAAAGATACATAAAAAAGTTATACGTAATTTTGAAATTTGCATTTTTTCAGAATCTGATACACATATTACAGGCTTACGTACTGTGTAGACGTATGTGTAAAAACCGTAAATTATTTGGCAAAAAAGCTAGTAATTTTCATTTGAACAGATTGTTTTTTTGTATAATTATTTAGAACAGCAAGTTGAATTTTATTTAATTTGGTAAGTGTGGCTGTACTGTCTTCTTCTTGCTGAAAATAAAGTTGCAACTTTTTCATGCAGTTTGTTGTCACTGGAAGCTCTTCTTTATCGTTGTTTTCTAGTTCGTCTTCCTGTTCGTTATCAGCGGATCCTTCATTAACCAAATTGGAGTCTGACAATTCCTGTGTTGCTATTAAATTATTGTCAGCATTTACGTACTCATTAAATTTGTCTATATTCAGTAAACTATTAATTTTCAGAAAATCACTTGATGAAATTTCATCTTCTGGATTAAAATCGTTGACTATTTCAGTTATGTTTTTCACTAAACCAGCATGGCGAAAACAATTACGAATCGTTTCTGGAGTAACCAATTCCCATTCAATAGTAAGCAAATTTATAGCATCTAAAATGGTGACAGCTTTAGTAATGTTGACATCTTCTTGAAGCTCCACAATTTTCATCAACATATGTTTCCGATACATTTGTTTGAGACTCCAAATGACACCCTGGTCCATTGGTTGCAGAACTGATGTCACATTGGGTGGAAAAAATTGAAGGTTGATGTTATTAAGTGAAATATTTGGATGAGCGGGGCAGTTATCGACCAAGAGCAAAATTTTAAGATTCTTCTCAACAAGTTCAGCGTCCCACTTTTTTAAATATTTTTCGAAAACTGATGAAGTCATCCAAGATTTATTATTTCCAACTTAAATTTCTCTGAAATAAAAAAAGGTCATAAATTCTTTGCATCACTGCCATTGAATATGAATTTCTATTCATTCACTTACCTATTATCAATAGTTTCCGTTTTTCAGTACCAGAAGCATTAGCACAAATTATAACATTTATTTGCTCTTTTGATAGTTTCCTTTCATTGCAAGTTTCACCTTTTAATTTATGAGTTTTATCTGGTAGCATTTTATAAAATATCCCGGTTTCATCTGCATTGAATATGTTATCATCTGAATAATCACTGGATATTACGGGCCAAACTTGAGAAATCCAGTTATTGGTAACGTTCTGGTCAACTGAAGCTGACTCACCACACATTTGTCCAAAAACAATGTTATGTCTTTTCTTAAACCTGTCTAGCCACCCGGAACTACATTTGAAGTAATCTCTAATCAATTTCCCAAATTCTTCAGCCTTTTTTGTAGCATAGGTCCACTTATTGGAAAATTATTAGCACGCTTTTGTTGAAACGATTTAAACAGCATATCATCGACTTGGGGATGCAGCGATAGCCGCATTTTTCCCTTTCGATATCCAGTAATTTTTAATTTTGTCACGGTTTTTCCAAATATTTGACACAGTGGATTGTTTATAGCCATACGAGCACATATATTTGCTTGAGATGAACCCTGCTCAAGATCACTAATTATTGTGAACTTTTCGTGTAAAGTGAATGCACGTTTCGCACTTTTCGGCATGTTTATAACTCTAATAAATACAGTATAACACTGGTGGCCAAGTTCGAATACAAACTGCGAAGCCAAACCGCCATAAACGATTGCAATCAGCTAAATCTGCTTCGGGGAACTACCAAAATAGCTCGCATGTAATGGATTAAAATAGTCAGCTTACATGCAATTATTTATAGAACCTTAAATTGTTTCCATTATATACGGGTTTCCATTATAAGCAAGTTCATTATAAGTGGATTTCACTGTAGATCACTCATGGAGAGCCGAGATAAAATTAGTTTCAAAATAAAATAGGAGGCCTTGATATCACCTTGACGTTTCTTGGGAGATAGTTTGTCAAAGTTATGTGTTATACGGTTGTTATATATATATATATATATTTTGTAAAAGTCAATTCAAAAGTTTCTTTATTTCCAGTTTTGAGTATTATTTTTGTGTACGGGTTTTGTAATGGAAATGCTTTAGCATCTTCTCCATTTGTGTTGCCGCTTCAGTTGAGTGTTTCTTCCTGAATCCAGCTTGAAATTTGGTTAAAATGTTATTTCCCTCAACGATTGATTGGCAGAAGCGGACCCGTACACTGGCCTGCGAGGTTTCCTGATTTGAACCCCCTGGATTTATTTTTATGGGGCGCTTTTAAACAACTAGTTTATGTTGAACAAATTAATACTGTTGATCAGTTACAAGAAAGAATACATAATGCGTTTCATCAAATTCAAGCCACAACAAATTTTGCGGAAATGTTTTTCTTCATTAAACAGATGCCGCACTTGTATCCGTCATAATGGTGGTATTTTTGAACATTTATTCATGTAATTTTTTTTATTTATTTTTACGAAAAGAGTGCACTCTAGGAAAAAAAACACGAGTACTTATTTGTAGCAAAAAATGGTACATAGAAGCCCCCTACAGTGCAGTCCTGTGTATGATGTTTCATTTTTGGTCACGATTTGTGAATCACCCTGAATTATGCATTCCAAGAAGAGGCCTACTTGTCTCTATTTATCGTCGGTCGTCTATCCAGTCTCCAATAATTAATTGCTTACGATTTTTAATTTTCTCTTGTCTTAGCGAATTTTGAAAGGAATCAGTTTTTTTATATTTTTTCCAGATGAGCAGCAATGCTGACGCAAAGTGCTTCTTGAAAAATTGGTATTAGGAATCAAAAACGGCCATTTTGATGATTTTAAATATATGACCAACATAGATTTAAAATTGTACTCTATTTATTTTTTTCTATTATTTAATCATGGACAATGTAGATTTTTATTTTCGTACATTTTAGAAAATGCTTTATAGATGTGTTTTATTTTAAATGTACACTATAATCGTTATGTGACTTGTAAATACTCCATAATTCATATATGCATAATTTGTAGTAATTTTAGTGTAAATAAAAAGGTCATTCAAGTAGTATATTCAGTAGTTATGTGTATACTTTGTAATAAATACATAAAGTCAACTGTGTTTTATTTTATGCAGTGAGATTAACTGAAAGTCAACTTCAAAAAAGCGTTGACAAGTAAACAGTAGTCAACTGTCACCAGAGGATCGACATTAGGTTAACTAGAAAGTTGTAATTAACTGTCGCTTAACTTCCAGCTAAAATTAGTCGATCTGAAATTTTAACTTTAAATCCAGTGTTTCAATTGCATATTAACTACTATCTTACTGTTAACTACAAGTTAACTGTCAAAAAACGTTTTCCAATCTCGGGTTTGTTCAAATCCTTAAATCCAACCGACGACACTGGTATTCGAGCTGCTGTTCATCAAATAAACTTGCGAAGTTAAGAGGCAAAGTTAATTTCACTAGACTATTCTCTCCGTTAATGCGCCAGATGGCACTGACTACTTCCCTTTGTGCTGTTTGTCTTCTATCCATACACGACACACACGCATTATCGACATTGTACTTATAGAAATTATGGAATGTCTTCAAGCTGAGGATGCGGTAAAAGAAACAGTTAAAAGGGTTTTTGATACCCGGTCTGTTCAAAACTTCGTTTTAGACTTGAGTAAGGAAAACTGGTCACCACTGTATAGTTACCGGGATATAAATACTGCATTTGAGTACTTCTTTCGAGTGTTTGACTATCACTTCCAAATACATTTTCCACTGCGTAAATGTCTGATTAAAAACAACAGCAAGAAATGGGTCGATGAAAATGTAAAGTTGTCGAGTTCATGCTTGCGTGAACAGCATATGTTGTCAACAATTATCCCTGAGTACAGACAACATTATCTAGATGCAAAAAAACAACATCAGAAGCTTGTCAGAAAAACAAAAAAGGCATATTATCAACAAAAGATATCCAATTCGCACAACGTGATGAAGGCTGCCTGGAATGTGGTTTCTGACATAAACGGAAGAAATAAAGTATCAAAGAACATTGTACTGCTTGATAATGGATTACCCATTAGAAATCCACAAGAAATTTCTAATTATTTTAACTACTATTCTAAACAGGCTCCTTTGGATATTATTAAAAAAATATCTAAGGATACAAACCCAGTTCCAAGTGATCATACCTGCGACCAAAAATCTTTTATGTTTTTATACCTGTGTCAGTCATGACATACTATTAGCCAAACTAACAGACTATGGAATTGGTGGTTCAGCCTAACTCTGGATAAAATCGTACTTGCAGAATAGGTCACAATTCGTGGCAATAACACACAACAACGGTGGTCAACTGAAGCAGGTCAAATCGGGTACCTATAGTTAACATATATATAGGCGTACCACAAGGATCTATATTGGGGCCAGTGCTGTTTTCCTTTATATAAATAACCTGGAGCAATGTTTCCCTGAAGCAGATTTCACGATGTATGCAGACGATGCCTCCATCATTATATCAAATAAAGACGAGGCTGATTTAATAAATAAATGTAACACCTTAGTGTACAACATCAATAGCTGGTTTGAAGAAAATCAGTTACTATAGCGAGAAGACCACAGTTATAAGGTTCCATAACATTCAAAAGTCGATACCAGCGATTCAGCTTGTTCTGAACGGTTCAGCACTGCAGAGTGATTAAAAGTTTTTAGGGCTCCATTTAGACCAATGTCTCAACTTTAAAGGACATTGCGATTATCTGTCATCAAAAATAAATTCACAAGCATATTTATTCAAGAACCTGAGATCTGTTTTCACAGAAAAGCAGCTATTGATGTTGTATCATGGTCAGGTTGAGTCTCGCATGCTGTATGCTTTGTGCTTCTGGGGTTCATCGGTGAACGCTTCTAAGGTGTTCCTAAGTCAAAAACGGCTGGTGAGGTGTATGGTGGGAGTAAGCAGCACTTATAGTTGCAGAGAATTATTCAAGAGATTAAAAATAATGACACTGCCTTCGCTTTTTCTCTACAATATGGCTATCTATACTTTTTTAAACAAAGATGATTTCACCTTGAATAGTCATATACATCAAATGGGCACTCGCAGACAAAACGACATCCATATACCTTTTGCGCGTTATAAGTTAGGCAGCAGATCACCATGTATTTTAGGTCCTAAAATTTTTAACAACCTTCCTGACTCCATAAAAAGGATCACCTCAATAGGCCAATTCAAATCTGAGCTGAAGCTGAGCTATAAGTAACTGTTTTTATGCAATTAGCGACTTTGTCAGTTTTTAAATATCGTTTTTTATCACTAATTTTAACTTTGTTGTTGGATATTATTTGTTTGTTTTTTTATTCATTTATTTACTTTGTACATATTTACTTATTGTATCTTTTTGACGAAACCTATACATGTTCATGCATGTCTGATGGAAAATAAATTTATTATTATTATTATTGCAGTACAGTTAACATGGCGGAAAATTTCGCAATAGGACAAACCAACATCTCGATGAGCTCCTCCTGCACCCTTCCTCTTACATGTCAACGACCTCCTTTTGTGTACAGGAATTCATAGTGACAAGCCGATATCTGCCACTGAGCCGGCAAAAAGAAGACTAGCGACGACTTCCTCTCTGACGAGAGACCTGGAGGTTCTCACTGCTTGGGGTCGCAACAATCTTGTACAGTTAAATGGTTCCAAAACACAGTACTGTTCCTTGACTAACAAAAAGCGTCCTAGCGCTCATCCCGTTTTGCTGGATGACCGAGTCCTGCCAAAGAGCCGTTCACTTCGGTTGGTCGGAGTCCAGATCACCGAGGTCTTGATCTGGCACGAACACATCTCGTCAATAGCGGTAGCTGCTGGGAAAAAGCTAGGCTATTTGTTTAGGGCTAAGAAGTACAGTGCTCTGTCGATAATCCACCATTATAAAACCCAGACTAGCGGCGGATTGCCAAAAATGGTGGATTACCGAGAATAATGAATTACACGATGTACGTATGTATATACAGTGCTCTCTCGATAATCCGCCCACTACGGTAATCCGCCGTTTTTTTAGTATTGACACCAACTCGACAATCCGCCCATTCTTAAACATTTAACTTGGTAATCCGCCGTCTCTGCTAAAATCTACCATGGGAAAAGACCAACTACTTTGGAAAAGTACCTTCAAAATGCATAAATTGTTTACACATGATATGTATCTATGTCCAATAAATCGGTACAGAGTATGAAATATTAAGTCTGTTATTTATGGAATACAATATGTAAATATATATACTAAGTGACATATAAATCCGAACACCCAGTTTAAATGGTTTTATTTTAATAAAATTTTGTATAAGTACTTAATGAAGCATAATAAGTAATGATAAAGATTTCAAAACGATTGCACTGCTTTAAAGCCCTTTGACCTTTAATAATGTGTCGATGCACCCTGATGTGCTACGCATTCTCCAACGCGCCTAGGCATGCTTCTGATTAGGTGGTCAATGTCCTCCTGTGGTATCTCATTCCAGGCAACCACCAATTCCTCTCGAAGTGCTTCTAGAGTCTGAGGAGGACGTTGCAAATAGAGCAATCTCCTACCCATCATATCCCACACGTGCTCAATTGGGGATAAGTCGGGAGATCTTGGTCGCCATGGTAACAATGTGACATCATTATGTTGCAAGAAGTCTATTGTGACTCTTGCAACATGTGGTCGGGCATTATCTTGTTGGAAAGTTGGATCTGCCAGGGTGTCAAGATAGGGTAAAAGATGGGGTTCTAGAACTTCGTGGATATAACGCTGCGCGTTCATGTTACCTCTGATGAACATTAAAGGTGACCTGGAACCATAAGCTATAGCACCCCAAACCATAACTCCAACAGTGTGATGAACCTGTCTTTCAACAAAAAACTGTGGATTCCTCATTTCACCAAGTCGCCTTCTAACCCTGGCACGACCATCGTGCATGCCTAAACAAAATCGAGACTCGTCACTAAAGACAATACTGTTCCATTCCTGATCCCAGAATGACCGTTGTCTGCACCACTCAAGGCGATTACGTCGGTGTTCTCGAGTTAAAGGGAGGATCCAGTATGGCCGGTATGAAAACAAGCCAAAACTTCTTATTCGTCGGTAAACACTTCGCATGCCAATAGGTCTTCCGTGTTCTGCAAACCATTCATTTGCAATGGACCTGGTAGTGGAGAAACGGTCCCTTAAGGACAATAATCTTAGGCGGCGATCTTCACGGTCTGTTGTTCTACGGCGGCGTCCAGTGCCCCTTGCTCTTTGCGTATGGCCTTCTCGAAGCCATGCCTGACAACACCTAACCACAGTGTCTACACTTCTTTGCACTCTAACTGCAATTGCCCGAAAAGAAAGTCCAGCTTCCCGAAGTCCCATTATACGGCCCCTATCAAACTCATTAAGTTGACGAAATCGTACAGGTCTCCGTACTCTAGGCATCGTAACCGATCGTAAAGGATATCAAGAACCAAAATCCGCCAACGTTGATTCTTTACTGCGGCTGAAATATTCATTTTTAGAGCGTTAGTGAATTAAAAAAAAGCAGTATAAAAACCGGAATGTCCAACTGATAAGGCTGAACATTTTTTCACTTGTTATTTACAGTAAGATAACTACATTCACCAACTTTTATTAAAATAAAACCATTTAAACTGGGTGTTCGGATTTATATGTCACTTAGTATACATACGTACATCGTGTAATTCATTATTCTCGGTAATCCGCCGTTTTTGGCTATCCGCCGCTAGTCTGGGTTTTATAATGGCGGATTATCGAGAGAGCACTGTATTTACATATTGTATTCCATAAATAACAGACTTAATATTTCATACTCTGTACCGATTTATTGGGTTTGTTTTGTTGGACATAGATACATATCATGTGTACAAAATTCATGTATTTTGAAGGTACTTTTCCAAAGTAGTTTGTCTTTTCCCGTGGTAGGTAGATTTTAGCAGAGACGGCGGATTACCAAGTTTAATGTTTAAGAATGGGCGGATTGTCGATTTGTTGTCAATGCTACAAAAACGGCGGATTATCGAGAGAGCACTGTACTTTTCTCCGCATGACCTTCTCACTCTATACAAGGCCCCCTTAA